TAAAGGCGGCCAGACGGCTAGTAGAGATGTCCACCATTCACGGCCTTTGCAGTTCCAGGTGCTTAGGAGGGTGAGGAGCTCGCAGAGGGAGCGGGCGAGGAGGTAGGAGGCGATCGGGGTGGTGAGGGAGGGGGAGGGAGAGAAGAGGTAGAGGGCTGCTAGGAGGGAGGCTGTTAAGAGGTCTGCCGAAGCGTAGCATGCTGCTTGCTTGCACTCTTTCCCCTGCTGAACATGGTTGAGAAGAGGGGGGGGGGGGGAGGTGGGGAAGGTAGAGGGAGAGGTGGAAAGAGGATGAGGACCCAGCAGAGGTACCGTAGCTTGCTTGCTTGAACGGGTCTGTTTTTTGAGTCGACTCAAAAACAGACTCATTACACGCGGACCCAGCAGAGGCACCGTAGCTTGCTTGCGGAGGAGATGAAACGGAGAGGAGAAAACGGGGGTAACGGGCGGAAGTGGGGGAGATGAAACGCAGGGAAATGTTGAGAGGAGAGCTGGAAGAAGGGTGAGGAGATAGCAGAGGGAGAAGGCTGCAGGGATGAAGGAGCCAGGAGGCGATGTGGGAGGTTCACAGCAACGAGGTGACATTGACAGCTTAAACGTACCAGGAGCAGCCAGAGCACGCAGCAGTACGCACCCAGCACCAGGCCTCTCCCTCCCAGCACACCCATCACCGCCAGCCACACAGTCCCCTTGGTTCCCTTAGCTGTACCCATAGGAGCCCAGAACAGCAGAGAGAAGAGCACCAGTCCAGCTGCAGTAACCGCCATGGCTAGGAGCAGCAGCAGCCACACGTATTCCACCATTTTTTCCATGGGTATTCTTCCTGGTAACCCTGGGACGGCGAGGGTATCTTCTGGTTTCCACCTGTGGGTTCTCGAGCGGGTTGCTTTCCAGGTGCGCCCGTCGTCCCAGTCCCCGAACCACTGGACCCTTTTGGATGGGTCCAGAACGATTTCCGAGCCTAGCAGTGGGTGCAGAGCGGTGGAGTCTGGTGCAGCGCTGTTACGCAGTGGTTCGCTTGGGTGTGCGCATGGCTGCTGTGGGCGTTCATAGCTGGCGTGGAGCAGCTGCAGCCTCTGGTTCTCGATATAAGCTGCCTCGTTTGTGTCACAAGGCTCCATGAGAATACCAGCCTTATTGGCACGGCAGGGTAGTAACGTCACAGGGGAACCCCAATCCACTGTAGCGTTGTTAGCTACCTGCCTAGCATTGACAGCAGCAGCGGCAGCAGAAGCAGCAGCAGCAGCAGTATCTACGCCCCTGCTATTCCTGCTGCTGCTCTTGCTGCTGCGGTTGGTGCTGCCACTGCTCCTCCCACCACCACTACTGCCACTGCTCATGTTGTTGTTGTTGCTGTCACCCCCACCAAACCTGCTGCTTCTGCAGCCTTCTCTGCTTCGGTTGTTCAGAAAGGCGTTTCTGCAAGGGCTGTTGCTACCTGTGCTGCTCGCGCCGTGCAAATCCACATGTACTCGCCTCAACTCACCCATACGTTCAGGGCCACCACTCCCAGATGGCCATGTGGCAGCTTCTCCTGGGCCCGGAGCAGCTCTGATCGCTGACGTGGCGTCATCACTCTCTGTGTTCATGGGTTCGTTTGTTCCACTCTCTCCCGTGGTGGCCCATCCACCCTTCTCTAGGCTGATAGGATTTCGCCGGCTGCTGCTGCGTAGTGCACCTTTTGAGCGTTCACCACCGATTCTCCCACCATTAACTGCTCTGCCGCCGCCGCCACTACTGCTACTGTCACCACCGTTTTCATCAGCATCAGCATCTTCATAATCACCATCGTTACTGTCACCTCCGCCGTCGTCGCCAGCATAGCCGTTTTTCTCCTCGTCGCTGTCGTAACAGTCGTGACTGTAACGAAACGGGCTGGCGTGCAGAAACGCGTACGGGTCCCCCCTCGCGGTCGCGCTCTGGCTCTTGGGAATGACGGTGGGCTGCGCCCAGGCGGAACGGGAGGCGGAGTAGCAGCGGAGGGGCGCGGGCATTTGCGCGTAGGGGGCGGGGGAGGCGGAGTAATAGCTTCCGGAGGGGGAATAATGGAAGCGGTCCGCGGAACATAGGAGCGGGGAACCGGAGGCGGAATAGGCGGCGGCGCGAGGGGAAGGGGTCGCGGGGGAAGAAGGCGCGGCGGCGGCGGCGGCGAGCGGAAGATCGAGGCGGAAGGACGAGCGGCGGAGAAACGGATCCGCGGAAGGCTGGGCGGCAGAGTCGAAGTATCGCGACATGAGCCACTGGTGCGTTTTGTCGTGACCCGCGCCCGCCGCGACGGCATCACTGACGGACACGGAGCGCGCGTGAGCTGCTACGTTGCTGCCAATAGCGGCGCGGCCGGCGACTCCGCTGCTTCCCATTACGCGCTCTGCGGCTCCTGCCTCCGAGTCGCTTGTTGCACTGCCACTATTGTTCGAAACCTTCGGCACCGCATGTCCCGTCGCATGTCCCGTTGCGCAAGCGGCGGACGCAAGTTCCGCGCATCTGTCGCTCTCAACGCGCGCCGTCACCGTCGCCACGCCGTGCGCGGCTCCCGGTGCCGAGTCTGCGCCTTCCGCCGTCTTTCCCGCCGCGACGCGCTGCTCAACGCCGCTGCCAGTACTGCTGCCGCCGCCGCCGCCGCCGCCGCCGCTGCTGCTGCTGCTGCTGATGATGCCTCCTTCCGGCGCGCTTCTTGCGCCCATCGCTTCTCGGGCCGCCAAGATTTGGACTATCATTTGCTCGGATTCGGGAGAGCCTAGATCCGAGAACGAGCTGTTGTCCGAATCTGAATCGTACGCGTTAGAGTCATCTGAAGAGTCCTCGTCCTCGCTACAAGACTCGATGGTTACCGCCCACAGGGGAACCGAATTCCGCATCCCCGCCGTGCACCCTCCGCCGCTTCCGCCGCGCGGGGGCCGCCAAAGCGGGGGACGTCCCCCGGACGGCGCGATGCGCGCGATTGCGGGGAAGCATGAGATCGGCTGAGGCGGCGCCAGCTTCGCTTCTGGAGCAGACCTAAAAAGCGATTTGGGAAAATGCGACTCGGGAGGATGGGATTCCGAGCTAATATGCCAATAAGTTAGATCGAATGCCTCCCAGGAACGTGCCGAGGCGCTTTCTATTCACTAATTAGTTGTGCCGTGCGCTGGAAAACAAAGGTATCTTGAAGTTGCCGGAAAACGTGAATGTGGTCTGCTAACAGGCTTTTGAGTTGAATCCTAAGTACCTCCCGGCTTTACACATAACAGAAGCCAATCGTGAGAAGCACCTGGAAAGGAGTCACTGTCCAATGGCTCGTCAAGAAAGGCGTCACTAACGGGACAGGAAGGACAAGCGGCGAGGGCGGAGAAAGGTGCAACTGAAGCGGCGCTGCCTGTGGCACGGTACGGCACCAGCGAGTGGAGTTCACGGGATTCGCAGCTGATGAAATTTGCGAGGAAATATTGAAGCACGCGTGCGGCAAGTTGGCAACCCGTGATGTCTACTCTTTTGGTTGTGGTGTGACTGGGGTGGAGAGAGTGAGAGAGCAGCAGAAGGTGCAGAAGAAATGGCACAGCCCGCGCCGCAGTTCTCTCCTTTTTGAGGATTTGTTTTGCAGATGTTGTGATTGCGGGCAGGGGAAACGTCTGGAAACCGCGTTGCATTCCACAATTCGACGAGCCGCTCACGACATTGTAACGCGGTTTGAAGGAAGAAAAGAGGATTTCAGGGCTTTACCGACACAATCAGCATCAGGTGACTGCGGGCAGAATCAAAGTTCTCAGGGGCGAAATGCAAGAGTCCGTGAAAAAAAATCGTCGTGCCACAAAGTATGGACAACGTCAACTGTGTGCTTTCCTCCATATAAATGCTGAGTGGACTTACGAATTAGCCCAACGTAAAAACATATGATCAACAAAATATGTGAAATGAGCAATGATCTTCATCAGCATGAGGTGAACTCCACAAACCGAGCACTTCTAAGAGATGCATGTACGGAATATACAGCATATAAAATTTACAATCGCCTACTAAAAGATGTACATGTAGTACTACGTAAATTACCTTACCTACCGACTCCTCACCACAAATCCACAAGTCTGCAACTGCAAATCTGCAAATCCACACCTTACGGCAAATCCACACTGCTCACACTGTCCTGTTTCTGTGAGTTACTCAACAAATGACGGATTAACCGAAGCTTCGAGTGGTTTGCTTCTTCTGTGTCCCGAACATCCAAACACCCATCCTCATATCATCATGCACACCACCCTCGACACTGGTCTTAGCCTGTGCCTGCTGCTGCTGTGGTTGTTGAGCCTCCCTGCTGCTGCTGGTGGTGGTGGTGGTATTCGACTTCCAAGGGGCGACCCAGGCAGGCGGCCAAAAAGGGGAGGAGGTGAGTGGGGGTATTGTAGGATGAGAGAAAGAAGCCGTGGGGGTAATTGGGGAGTTGCTCCTTGGCGTGGTGGCTCTTGGGGTGGTGCTTCTGGGGGTTGTGCTTTTAGGCGTTGTGCTTTTAGGAGTGGTGCCCTTAGGGGGAGTCCCCTTAAGAGTGGTGCTGCTGAGACTGGCATAATTAGCAGTACTTCTATCAGGGGTGTTACTCTTGGGCGTAGTGCTTTTAGGAGTGGTGCTAGTGGAGGTGGTGCCTTTTGGAGTTGTGTTTACAGGGGTAGTGCTATTAGAGGTTGTGCTTCTAGGAGGTGTGCTCTTAGGGGTTGTGCTTCTAGGAGGGGTGATGGAAGGAGGTGTGCCGGAGGGAGGAGTGACTATACGGGTAGTGACAGTAGGGATAGTGAGAGTCGGAGCGGTAAAGTCTCCAGGGACGCTGCTGCAAACCCCTGCACACCGCACTTCACCCCTGGAATCTCCAGGGACGCTGCTGCCTCGACGGGCGAATCCCATCTCTGTGGCTGATCTAGGAGCAACAGTAGACAAACTCCTGTATTCCTCCCCCTGTTCACCCCTGGCAATCCCTCCGCACCGCCCTTCACCCCCCGCTTCCACCTCCCCTTCACCCCACCCTTCAAAGCCCCCTAACAACCCCCCTTCCAATGCTCCATCATGCCCTCTTCTAAAACCTTCCCCTGAAACTCCCCTAGAGGTCCATTTAGGCGTCTTACTGGATGAAGCAGCAACATTAGAAGCAGCACCAGCAACAGCATTAGAAGCAGCACAAGGGGTCTTTTCAGACGTATCTGAAGCTGCAGCAGCAGAACCAGCAGCAGAACCAGGGGTTTTCCTGCCCCAGCCACTCCTGCTCCCAATCCCTTTCCCGGTCTTTGACCCAAGCCCTGTTCCCATGCGAGGGGTTATCTGATTGGCCGGGGTTCCAGATTTCTCATAGTACGCTGCCAGGGCTTCGGGTGTCATGATTGGCTTGGGGGACATGCCACGTGGCAGCTTCCTATTGGCTGCTGGGCCTGGTGTCAGGGCCGGCGCCGCCCGTGCTCCTCCCGCTGCGGAAACAGCTGCTGGTTTGAACGATGAGCGCCCCATATAGTCACATGCGGACATAGCACCACGTTGTAAGAGCGCACGTTTGATATAATCACCCCTCTCCCTCTCCCTCTCCCTCTCCCCCTCCTCTGCCTCCTCTTCCTCCTCCTCTTCCTCATCTTCATCGTTAGGAATATCCAAAGGAATGGCCACTCTTAAAGCCCTATTGCCGGCCCAACGCTTCCCTCCATCCAACCCTACAGGACCGGCTAACAAGGCACCCTCACCGCTGCTTTCTGCCTGCAACTGAAGCCGCTGCGACTGAACAGTTGGGCTGGTAAGTCTCGGCTCCTTCTCCCTGCCAACCTCCTCACCCTTCTTTCCCTCCTCACCCTTTATTGTCTCTCCCACCTCCTCAGATTTTCCACCCTTTTTGGCCTTGGTCGTGCTCCCATCCTTCTTCTGCTTCTTCTTCTCCTTCACCCCACCTTCCTTTGCCTGGTCCCATAAACTCTCCCCACTCACCCCCTCACCCACTCCCTCGCTCACTCCCTCACTCTCATTTCGTGGATTCAGCATATGTGCTTCATTCACTTCTGCTCCCTCGCCTTCTCTGCCTCCTGTTTTCTCCTTCTTCTTCTTCTTCCTACCAGATTTGCTCCCCTTCTTTCCAACCTCTTTAACCTTGTCCCCTTCAGCACTGTCCCCCTCACCCTCGCTCTTCCTCCTTGTCTTCGCCTCCTTCCTTTTCTTTGCCGGTTTCGTTCCCCCCTTGTGCCTGCTGCTGCCTTCCTTGTGCTCGTTCTCCTTTGATACATCACCACCACCAGCAAAAGCACCAGCAGCACCATCATCAGCACCACAAACCGTACCACCATCACCATCACCATCACCATCACCATCACCATCACCATCACCATCATCATCAAGATACGCTGTGCCGCCAACATCAGCAGCAGCAGCAGCACCAATCGCTTCCAAATCGAGCACTCTGCATGCATATCCCGACCCGATAGTTCTCGACCGTAGCAGCTGCACCAACGGCACCTCCTCCTCCTCCTCTAACCCCTCCTCCTCCTCCTCCTCCTCCTCCCCTTCCCCTTCCCCATCCAATTCACCCCCCCATTCCTCTCGAGTAAAACCATAACCCTCACTGCCCTTCCTCCCTTTCTTGCCATCAGCAGCACATTTGGTACCTGCAGCAGGAGAGAGGGGTTCCTTCCATGAGCTCACACCATCAGTAGCAATGGTTTTCGATCGACGAAATACTGGTTCTTCTTCTGCTTCTGCTTCTGCTTCAGCTGCTGTTGCTACTGGTCCCCCACACTCACTCCTGGACACCCCATACCCATTCTGTCTCTGTTGCACATCAAAATCAGGCAACCCATATTCATTCCTCCTCTCCTCATCCCGGAAACCCAACCGCCACCCCCCTCCTCCTCTCCTCGCCCTCTTTTCTCCTTCCCCACTTCCTCCTCCTCCTCCTCCTCCTCCTCCTCCTCCTCCTCCTCCTCCTCCTCCTCCTCCTCCTCCTCCTCCTCCTCCTCCTCCTCCTCCTCCTCCTCCTCCTCCTCCTCCTCCCCCACTTTCTCCTCCCCCTCCTCCTCCGCTTCCCCAACCGCCTTTCCACCCACCCCCTCCCTCTCCTCGTGGTGTCACAGCCAGCAGGGCAGCTGCCGTCACTTTACCCCCCACTGCCCTTCCTCTCCCCTCCGCCTTAGGAGACTTCAGACTCGTGTAGTAATCTACATAAGCCCCCGCCCCCCCACTTCCCCCCAGCCTCTCACTTCCTCCCAACCTGCCGCTCCCCCCCAACCCTCCACTTCCCCTGATCCTCCCACTCCCCCCGAACTGTCTACTTCCCCCAGTTGAAAGGGTGGAGGAAGAGAGAGGAGGGGAGGGGGAGAGAGTGGGGGAGAGAGAGGGAGAGAGTGAGGGGGAGTGAGAGGGAGAGAGTGTGGGTGTGCCAGCAGAGAGATCAACAAGCTGGGAAAAATCCGTTAGAAGCAGCTGCGATACAAGGTCCTCACTCATACTCCTCTGATGCAACCCGAGGCGACGCACACACCGCCGCTGCTGCCGGTGCTGCTGGTGCTGCTCGTGCTGCTTCCGGTGCTGCTTGCTGCTCATTCTCCCTGCGGCTGCAGCTGCTGCGGTCTGTGCGCGGATTTTTTCGGCTTCGGCTGCTGCTGCTTCTGCTTCTTCTGCCCGTGCCTCTCGTAGCATTGTGATTGACCTCAGGAGGTATTTACCTTTGTTTGCTAGCAGTTCGGCTTGCCGCGTTGACTCGTCTTTCCAAACACCAGCAGCAGCAGCAGCAGCAGCAGCAGCAGCAGCAGCATCAACTGCACTTGGCTGCTCCACAGCCCCTGATACCGCGCCGCACCTGCTTGCACCGCTCTCCACCAAACCAACAGCAACAGCAGCAGCAACACCCGTGGCACCAGCAGCAGACATGCCGTTAGCAGCAGAGGCTGTAGCAGCAGCTGCTTCCTCTCCTCCCACCCCACTTCCCCCACTCCCTCCACTTCCCTCCCCTCCACTCCCTACTCCCACACCCATCCCCTGCTTCACCCCCCCATTCGAGCCATCTGCTTTCGCTTTTCCAGTCGCTCCACAAATTGCTGCCGCTGCTTCCGCGCCCGTTCTGCCAGCTCCCTCCCCTTCTCCCTCACTCTCTCCTTCTCCCTCTCCTCCTCACTCATTTCCACTGCTGCTGCGCCTCCTGCTCCTGCTCCTCCATCCTTTTTCCCTGCATCACCACCATCACCACCCCCAGTTTCAACTGCTGCTGATGCAGCCCCCACTGCTGCCTTTTTCTGGTTCAATCCGGAAGCACCAGCAGCAGCAGCTGCTGCTGATGATAATGCTGATGCTGATGCTGAATGGTTTGACTCAAACACACCGCCAGCAGCCACTGCAACTGCTCCTGCTGCTACTGCTGCTACTGCTGCTGCTGCTGCTCCTGCTGCTACTGATGCTGCTGCTGTTGCAAATGCTCCCGCTGCTGCTGTTGCTCCTGCTGCTGCTGCTGCTGCTGCTGCTGCCTCCCCTGATGCTGTTTTTCTTCCCCACCACAACCCCTCACCAGCAGCGACCGTACCATAAGCAGCACCCTTATAAGCGGCCTCGCCAGCAGCGGCCATACTGTACCCCTTATAAGCGTCTTTGCTAGCTGCACTGGCTAGACTTGGCGTGCTTCTGGGCCTGGTTAGCAGCGCTTGTGGCATTTCAGCAGCAGGAGCCGCGGCAGGGGGAAGGGGAGAACGGGCAGGAGTGGGAAGAGGAAGGAGAGGAGAAAGGGGAGGAGAAGGACGCGGGGGGAGAGGAGAGAGGGGAGGAGAAGGACGAGGGGGGAGAGGAGAGAGGGGAGAAGAAGGACGAGGGGGGAGAGGAGGGCGGGAAGGAGAAGGAACAGGGGAGAGGGTGTGAGGAGGAAGGGGAGAACGGGCAGGAGAGGGAAGGGGGTGGAGAGGAGAGAGGGGAGAAGGAACAGGTGGGAGGGTGTGAGGAGGAAGGGGAGAATGGGCAGGAGAGGGAAGGGGGTGGAGAGGAGAGAGCGAAGGAGCCCCTGTTGGGTCTGTAGCATGATCAGCAGCAGCAGCAGTAGCACCATCACTGCAAGCATTGGCAGCACTAGTAGTGGTTGTAGCAGTGGCAGCAGTGGCAGTAGCAGCAGAGGCAGTAGCAGCGGTAGTAGTAGCAGCAGTATCAGTAACAGCAGTATCAGTAACAGCAGTATCAGTAACAGCAGAAGCAGTAGCAGCATTAGCAGCAGCAGCAGAAGTAACGGCAGCGGCAGCAGAAGCAAGGTTCAGAGGAAGCTTCCCTTCCCTGTGCATCTTCCTCCTCACCGCAAACCTTATCTCCTCCAGAAGCTTCCGAGCCTCCTCACTCTCCTCCTCACTCTCCTCCTCACTTTCCTCCTTTCTTCCCTCCTCAGTTTCACTCCTCTCTCCATCTTTTCCTCCTCCCACATTCCCTTGCACATACTCTGCAGCTCTTTCCTTAAGACTTTCGCTGACACCCTCTTTCTCCTCTTCCTCTTCACTCTCCTCCTGCTCCTCCCGTTCTTCCTCACTTTCCTCTCCCTCACTCCATTCTTCCTCACTCTCACCTTCCTCCTCACTCTCCTCCTCCTCTTCACTCTCCTCCTCCTCTTCACTCTCCTCCTCCTCTTCACTCCCCTCCTCCTCTTCACTCGCCTCCTCCGCTTCACTCTCCTCCTCCTCAACACTCTCCTCACCCTCTACCGCCACTTTCATATCCTTCCCCCCATCCTCCTTTTCGTCTTCTCTTCCAATACGTCCCCCACATGCATTCATCGCTCCTTGCCTTGCCTCCTTTAATTCCCCTCCCACCAATACTCCCTCTTTCATCTTTTGAGGCGCCTCAAAAGCACTCATCGCTCCTTTCCTTGCTTCCTCTCCCACCGCCGCTCCCTCCTTCACCCCTCCCATTACTCCCATCCCCAACCCCACCCCCACTTCCTCTTCTTTCTCCTCTCTGATCTCCTTCCCTCCATCCTCCTCCTTCATTCCTCTCACATCTCCTCCCCCACAAGCGTTCACCTCCGTTGCTCCCTCCTTCACCCCTCCTTCACTCCCCCCATCCTCCTCCTTTTCCGTTCTTTCTACTTCCTTCTCCCCTCCCTCACTCCTCACTAATCCTTCGTTCACCTCTCCCTCACTCCCCCTATCCTCCTCCTCTCTCGCTCCTCCTGGTCCTCTTACACTCACCTCCACCCCCCTCTGCTCCCCTTCTGTAGAGTCACACATCAACCCCTCGCGTTTCGAGCCACCGAACTCCATAAAGTCACACTCCGCAATAGAACCCCCACGCTCAGAACCACCCAAATCCGAAATACTCACATAATCACATTCCCCCGACTCCCCTCCTTTCAACGACCCCAGATCCGAAATACTCGTATAGTCACACTCGCCAGACTCCCCACGCCCAGAACGACCTGCCACATCAGCATCTCGCGTACACTCACACTCAACAGACTTTCGAGGACCCTCAAAAGCGTCTTCCGTATAGTCACTCTGCACAGACTCACACGCCGACCCTCTTCTCCTGGACAGCGCACGAGCCATGCTTCGGCGAGCTATTCTGCTCGGCCCGCTCCGTCCATTGGTTCCGCTCCATCCGCTCTGGCTGTTCAGGCTGTCGCTCTGGCCGTTGCCTTGGCTGCTCAGGCCGCTCAGGCCGCTCGGGCCGCTCGGGCCGCTCGGGCCGCTCGGACCACTCAAGCTGTTGAGGTCGCGCTGACCGCTCAGACTGCTCTGGCCGTTGCCTTGGCTGCTCAGGCCACTCGGTCCACTCAGGCCGCTCGGGCCGCTCGGGCCGCTGTGGCTGTTCAAACCGCTCCCACTGAAACGCCTATTCATGCCCTGATCCAACTCCCCGCCCATGCCATCATCTACAATACCACCCATGCTCTCGCCAGCAACCCTGCTAAAGCTGCTCCGGCTGTTGCGGCGGGCCCTAATGAAACCGCTGCTTGTGCTGTCACTGGTAACGCTGCTCGTGCTGTCACCAGTCATACTTCCATCCACCCCACCCAACTCCCTCTCTTTCTCCCTCCCTACTTCCACCCCAGCTTCTTCTCTCCTCTCTCCTCCCCCCTGCTCTTCCCCCCCGTTCTTCCCTTCACTATAATCACCCTCCTCCTGAATCTCCCTAAAACTCCCCTTGCTCCCCCAACTCCCCCTGCTCCCCCTGCTCCCCCAATTCCTCCTGCCCCCCCTGCACCCCCTGCCCGCGCCCTCCGCCCCGCGCCCTTCGTTATTGTCACACTCCGGCACAGGGAACACCTGGGAGATGCCTTCTAGGCTCTTCCTGCGGTGCGCCCTCCGCATATAAGCACGCGTGGGCACCTGGATGTGGGTCCGGGGGGAAGGGAGAACCCCACCTGCTGCTGTGGCCGCTGCTGCTGCTGGTGCTGCTGCTGCTGCTGCTGCTGCTGCTGCTGCTGCTGCTGCTGCTGCTGCTGCTGCTGCTGCTGCTGCTGCTGCTGCTGCTGCTGCTGCTGCTGCTGCTGCTGCTGCTGCTGCTGCTGCTGCTGCTGCTGCTGCTGCTGCTGCTGCTGCTGCTGCTGCTGCTGCTGCTGCTGCTGCTGCCTCTGCTCGCTCTCCTGCCCCTGCTTCCGTCCCCTCTCCTGCTCGCTCTCCTGCTCGCTCTCCTGCTCGCTCTCCTGTGCCTGCACCTGTGCCTGCGCCTGCTTGTGCTGCTATAGCTGCTGCTGCAGGTGCATCAATCGATGCACTCTCTGCTAGCCCAGCCGACAGCCTCCCACTCTGTGCGTTAACAGGCACGTCTATAGGGAAGACAAAGTCCCTCGTTCTCCCCCTCTCATGCCTCCCCCTCAACCTCGCCCCTCTCTCGTTGCCTCCAGCATCCCCAATTGCAGAAGTAGCAGCAGGAGCAGCAGCAGGAGCAACAGCAGGAGCAGGAGGAGAGGGAGGAGCATCAGTGAGCTTTTTGCTGGCTCCTCCCAAACCCCTTCTTACAGCATTCAAAGGAGGAACTACCAGGACAGGAGGAGCTACCCCTTCCTCCTCCTCCTCCTCAATCACCTCCCCCTCTTCCTCATCCCCTCTCCTATCCTCCTCCCTTTTCTCTTCCTCCTCCTTTTCCTCCTCTTCCTCCTCATCCCTCCACCCTCCACCCTCCACCCTCCAGCCGTCCTCCAGGCGTCTTAGAGCCACGTGACTGCAAGGAATGTGATTGTGAAGATTGTGACTGTAACGAATGTGACTGTAAGACGTGGGAACTGGGTGACTGTATCGGCTTAGCATGAGGCATGCCGTGACTCGTTTCCGCACGGGCCTTGCCCGAATCCTTCCATATAGTCACATGGGCGGAGAAGGTTGGCGTGGGCGGCAGCATAAGACGGCGCAGGCTAGACGCGATGCCACCACCATCCTTCTTCTTGCTACCGTCCTTTTTCCCATCCTTCATGTTGCTTGCGTTACTGCCTGTGTTACCACTTGTGTGTGCGTTACCACTTGTATGACTGTGTGAGTTACAGTTTGAGTCATTTGCAGTGCTGCTGCTGCTGCTGCTGCGGCTGTAGCTGCGGCTGCTGTAGCTGCTGCTCTTACCAAACCCACTACTGTCCAAACCAGAGCCGTCACTCGCGTCTGTAGCGTTTTCTTTTCTGCTGCTTCGGCTGTAGCTGCGGCTGCTGTAGCTGCTGCTCCTATCCATTCCGCTGGAGCCGTGGCTGCAGCCGTTGTTGCTGATAGCTGTGGTATTGATGGTTGAGTTGCTGCTACAGCTGCCACGGCTGCTGTAGCTGCTGCTCTTGCCCATGCCTCTGACGTCAAAGCTAGTGCTACTGCTGCTGCTGCTGCTGCTGCTGCTGTAGATCACACTGCTTCCGGAAGCAGCATGCGACATGTGGCCATCCATCCTCGCTATAGTCCCGTTCCTGTCTTCCACCAACACTTGTCCAATTTTCGCATCGCCGCTACAATGAAAATCGCCGTGGCCAGTACCAAGGAATCCACCGTAATTATATTTTTCAAATACCGGCGTCCATAGTCGCTCCAGCGCCTCAAATGTTGGCAAAGCTCCGCTCTTGCTGCTGCTATTGCTGCTTCCATTTTCACTACCATCATCTGGCATTTTGAAAAAATCGTCACTGTGCATTCCCGTGCACCGTACACCGCTCGCAAAACCGACTCTATCGAGATTCTTCCCAACCGCATCCGGGGAACCCGAGACTCCAAGGTTCGGCAAATCGACGTGCAGGAACGGCGCGGGGGCTGGAAGCTCGTCGTGCATGATTTGCCACGATTGGTGCGCGATCGTCAGCTCCTCGATCGCGCGTTGGCGACCCCATGCCCGTTCGTCAAACGCCAACCATCGCCGCTGGTAACCAGCTTCGTCTTCGCTCGAAGTCACAGATTTGTTTTTCCCACCATTTCTTGAAGCATGTACACCGCAGCACGTTTTTATCCACCGTTTGATTCGCTCCAACTCTCCAGGCATCTCCCACGCGAGATCTTCTAAGTCATTCAGTACGTGCGACCGCGGGTCGGCAAGCGATATCGCCAAAATTGTCCACGACATCACGCGACGTCGCCCAGGTGATTCAACGCTGGACCCACGCGGCGACGGCCCACGCTCGTGCGACGTCGCCGACGTCGCGAACCCGTCGCAGGACTCGGCTACTACGGCAATCGCGCCGAGCGGCTTTACCGCGTACAGCTGTCCCGTCTCCACCTGCTGCGCGCCGATTTCAATCACCTCCACGGGAGTCCCGCTCGGCGGAATCTCCGTTCCCCAAGACTCCCTTCCGCTTCCGCTTCCGCCTCCACCTCCGCCGTCGCCGCTGCTGCTCCCTTCCGACTCGGGATCCTGCCACGTCTCCGGCGCAATCCCAAGGTTCCACGGCGCCTCCGTCGCGAATCGTGCCGTCGCGAGCTTTCCGCCTGCCCCGCCGCAGTCGCCACCGCCGGCGGCGCAAGCCACGGGACGAAGCGGGTCGAAATCCTCATCCGCGGAAACCTCGATGCGCGCGGCGGAGCCGCGCGGCGTGAGGCAGAGGACGTGATAGAAGCCGTGCTTGGAGTGTAAGGGGAAATCGTGCCACGGGGAAAACGGCCGCGCGGAAGGATCGAAGAAGAGCCATCTATAGGCGGAAGAACCGACGGTTCCGAACACGACGGACCATCCGTCAGCGAGTAAATGGCGATTCATGAGTGTAGCGGATGCAAATAGCGTCCTAAAGATTTAAACAACGATTCATGGTAGAAGTTCTACCTGCTCGCGATAACTCGAGAAGTGGTCGTGGTCTATCCCCGCTAGAGGTATCCAATGCTTTTACAAAACTTAGTAGAGTCATATGGATGTCCCGAAGCTGCTGTCAATTTTGTGCACGGAACTGGTTTTTCTCGAATCACCACCACCACCACTTCAACACCTTCCCCAATCCCCACTGCTCGTGCGTGCACGTCCTGACTGAGCACAAGTCAGGTCGTGTCCGTAGGGATGACATGTCAAGCATGTGAGTGTCAACTTGTGGTTTTGACACTTGCCAACATTGTTGGCAGAGTGTCAACGACATGAAAATTGCCGGCCAGTCCAATTCGTCGGATATCCTTCTCTGCGAATCGCGTAGCTCCATCCAGCCAACCAAAGTGGTCGGATCGAGAATTTTGACGATCCACACCTGCCCAATCATCGGATGAAAAACTCTTCGCGACTGCAAGGTCGTGCAAGAAATCGCCTGTGTACTCAAATTAGTGCCAAACCAATAATATTGCGTCGCATGATTTTGTGCTGCGCTTCGATGTGACACTGAAGCTACAGTGCTTGACACTCAAAATTTCGCGCGCTTCGGGTTGAGCCTGCCAATGTTGACATGTCATCCCTACGGACACTAACTCGCTTCCCAAGTTGGGCCAGGGAAGAAAGCGAAGACAGACAACCCTTTTTTTCTGTGCTGGACCACCCTACGATCCGAAAAAAAATCCAGCCAGTGCCAGCGAGTTCTGCCAGCCCTCCTGAAGGGGGCTTCGCACTGCTCATCTGAGAGTGGATAACCCAGCGAGGCATGTAAATAAGTGGGTAGGCGGATTACGATCGACAGCCGGGGTATACCAAAGGAGGTTTACCCCAACCGCCAACTAAGGGATGCTTTTTTTTCTAGATTTTCTAGATTTTCCTTTGACAAATGCCTCTCAAACGAGGGTGTCGCCGGACAGCCCTGGATTGGTGGAACTGGAACAGATATAAAACACTAGGCAAAACGGCCCTTGCTTGCAGGGAGAGGTTGAGCTTCAACCGACAAACCCAAACCAACCAAAACCTTCCTCTTTTGTCAACCCATTGGTGCACGAAACCAGCTTGGCTTGGACACGCCCCTGTAACCTCTCGCTCTGACATCGCAATGCCAGTGGTGAACTGCAGTCCGCCTTGAAAGTTGAAATGAAACCTGTTTGTGGTGTCGAGGACAGTGCGGTGTGCGAGTACTGTACAGGTGTTTGCGAAGGTTGGAGGGGTGATTGAGTGTGTACAATAGCCTTATTCCTCGGCTGTGTTGGATGGGGGGCAGAGCACAGTGCGACTCGGTTGCTCAGAAACACATTTGTCGCCATCCTAGGTGTTGCTTCGCCTGATCAAAGTTTGTCGTGTTCGACCTGCCATAGTCTCCTCTTATTCACGAACCGCGATTTTGAGGCCATCCATGGTGCAAGAAGAGCACCCACGTTCGGCCAATGCAGTGTCGGTCAATGAGAGACGGGCAGTGGAGACGACTTTTTGTGAGCCACGCCAGCACTGGTGGGTTTCTTTGTCCTATCCTCGAGCGGTCCTGATAGCGAGTGGAACGACCTCGTTACAAGACAGTGTTGGTGCTCCAGTTCTGCAACTATATTGTCAATATCAAGGTTGCTAACTGAACTAAACATAGTTGCTAACTTCAGATTGAAAGCACTGGCTAGTCCATTTGGAAGCATCGACCATACTTTGTCCTAATTTATTGAAATGACTAATCAAAATAGAACGCAAAACAAATAAAATAAAGCCTCCAGAACGCATAATCCCCACTTCCAGAAAAGGGGCACTTCACCTTTACGAGCTCGGTGGTTGAGAGGCAAAATCAAACGACCCAGATCCAACAGCAAATGAATGCCTACGAGCATGACCAGTCCTAGGCCGAACCATGCCACCCTGCTGCTGCTGCTGCCCAGCAATCCCACCAGCACTACCTTCCCCTACTCCACCACCACTGGCACCACCAGCAGTAACACCTCCATCAGATGAGCCTGCCCCAGATCCACCTGCCATTCCTACTGGCATGGAAGAATTAACTGTGCCGAGCTGAGGCCTCCACTTGGAAGGTGACACCTGGGACGGGCTGCTTCTGCCGCCCACCTGATGCTGCTGCTGCTGCGCTGAGAGCTGCTGCTGCTGCCCATGTTGTTGCACGTGGTGCTGCCCCTGGAATGCAGAGAACGGAGCACCTGAGGAACCTTCCCTGGCTGTTTCCTTGATGCTTCCAAACAGCTGTGGCGACGTCGGCCTTGGCATGTCAGCCGCTCCGCTCCGAGTCTCGCCGGCCCCGATGCTGCTGCTCCTCCTCCATGCCGCCCGCCTGCCGGCCGCAATCTCCGCTCTGTTGATACCACCTGAAGCTACGCCGCCCGGACCTCCACCAGCACCTAGAGAACCACCTGAACCAGTGTGGCCTGCTGCGAGCCCACCTGAAGAGCTGCTATCCTTGAGCCGGGAGCTTCGAGCCCTGTGCGGGGACACATGGCCGGGGGGAGGAGTGGGTCGACCCCCCAGCTGAGGGGACGATGGCCTACCCATGCGCATCTGCACCCCTCCCTGTGCCCCTCCCCCTCCTCCTGCTGCTGCTGCTGCTGCCACCGCACCCCCCCCTCCCTGTCCATCCCCCCCTGTGACAGGCTCCTCAATCTGCCATTGGTCAAACGAGCCCTCCTGCCCACCACCCCCCTCCCATCGCCCAGCCATGCGCTCCGGTGGGAAATGCACGCGATTGGTGCTAGCAGCACTGACGGCGCTGCCCTGCTGTTGCCCTACCCCAACTACTTCCCCGACACTCCTTTGCCTGGGTACCCCTGGCGCATGCCCATGCCCATGTGCATGTGCATGTGCGTGCGTATGAGCATGCCCTGCCATTCCCCCAGGCCCACCGCCTGCGCTCCCCCCGCCAGGTTCCCCAGCACTCCACTGTCTGGGTATCCCAGGGGGCCCTCCCAACCTCGACCCATGCCCTCCTGCTCCCCCTGCACCCATCCCCACCCCTCCTCCTCCCCCTCCACCGCTCTCCACCCATCCCCGACTCCCCTGCTCTTTGAGCGACCCGTTTCCTAGCATGCGCGTGTGTCGAATGTCCCTTCCAAGCCTTTGCTCGGGCACACTCACATGCCCTGATGAGCTCCCAGCCTCTGCTGCTGCACACCCAGCAGCGCCTGACGGAGGGCCTTCGAGAACCTGGGCTACAGGAAGGGCGGACGACAAGGGAAATCCTGGTCCGGCCATGCCTCGCTCCGAACCTGACTTTAGAAACCTCCTTGGGCTCGAGACGCTGCTGGTTTCGTTACCCGCGCCACTGCTGAAACCACGGCCGCTGCCAGCAGCAGCAGCAGCAGCAGCAGCAGCAGCAGCAGCAGCACCAACACTGCTGCTGCTTCTGAAGCTGCCATCTCCTCCCGACCCCGGAGCCCCACCCACCCGCTCCGAGCCTGATTTCACCAGCCTCCGCGGCAGGTTCTGGTTCACAACCGCTCCAGAGGAATCTGCAAAACCGCCACCACCGCTGTTCTCACCCTCCTGCTGCTGCTGCTGCTGCTGCTGCTGCTGCTGCTGCTGCTGCTGCTGCTGCTGCTGCTGCTGCTGCTGTGGTTGCTGCTGCTGGGGAACGCGTGTGAGGGGGCTACCAGGGCGAGGGGGGTTGGCACTGAAGCTAGAAGCCAGAGGGCCGCGGCTTAGGGGGCTCAGCAATGGCTGGTGATGGGCGTGGGCGTGGGCTTTCAGGGGGCTGGCAGGGGGGAACTTGGCCAGAGGGGAGGCTAGTGGGATATCCCCATCCCCATCCGCGTCCTCCTCCTCCCCGTCGTTCTGCCCGCCGTTCTGCCCAGATGCTAAATCGCAGTTCAGCTTCCTGACTGCTCCTCCTGCTGCTCCTGCTGCTGTTACAAACCCGTTAGGAGAATTTGACCCTGCTGCTGCATCAGTCCCTTGCTGCTGCTGCTGCTGCTGCTGCTGCTGCTGCTGCTGCTGCTGCTGCTGCTGCTGCTGCTGCTGCTGCTGCTGCTGCTGCTGCTGCTGCTGCTGCTGCTGCTGGGACTTCTGCTCCTGCTGTGGCTGCAGCGGCTGGGCGGAAACGAGAGGCGAGGCTAGAACCACACAGTCGTCCTCATCCTCCTTATCATCGTCCTCGTTAACAGATACGTTCAGTGGCATTCGCCCTGTAGCAGATGCCCCTGGCGCAGCCTTACACTCCACGATATCCCCATCATCCTCGTCACAGTCATCCTCACTACTGTCCAAATCCGCGGTGTACTCCTCTTCGTTATTATCACCTCCGTTAGAAGCACCTTCCAAGCCTGGATCACCAATCGCCCCTCCTAATTGAGGAAAGGTGAATGTCGAATCCTGGTCCGCACTGCTGCCCACTTGCCCCTTGCTTCCGCTCCCCTTGCCCTCTTCACTCCCCCCCTCACCCCCCTTGCTCGCAACCTCAATCACTAGCACACCTGACGTCTCCTTTCCGTCAACGCCCGCGCTTCCGCCACTGCCCCCGCCTCCTCCGCTTCCGCCTCCGCCTCCTCCTGCGCCTGTCGCAGGGCCAGAAGGGGGCATCCCCACCCGCTTGACAACAACAGGCGGGTCCCTCCCCCCTCCGCCACTCCTCCGCCTCACCAGCGGACCATCCGTGCCCCCATCCTCCTCCGCCCCCCTTCCCCCGTCCACAGACGCGCTCCTGAAAAATCCCCCGCGCCCCATCCCCCTCCCCGGACCCGCCCTTCCCCCAGCAAGCCCCCCTCCGCCCAAAGGCCCCAGCCGGCCCCCCCTGCCCATTCCGCCCTTAACCAGTCCCGGCGGCGCCAGCCCCGATCCCCTGCTTCCCCCTGCGCCGGGCGCAGGGGCGGCTCCCCCTTGCGCCCCTGCTCCGCCAGGGTGGGGGGGAGAGCCGTGGGCTAAAGCGCTAGCAGTACTGCCACCTGTGCTACCGGTAATGCCGCCGCCGCCGCCGCCGCTGCTGCTGCTGCTGAAGTCCATATGCGGGCTGAAACTGACGCTCTGCGCTCGGGCGTGTCTGTTAACCCTACGCCCCGCCGGGCCCGCTCCCCCTGCGCTGCTGCTGCCGGGAAACGCTGCGAACTGCGACGAAGGCGGCTGCTGCATGCGAGGGCTTAGAGAGGGGGGTTTACCACTTCCACCAATCCCCGCACCCCCGCCACCCCCGCCGCTCCCACCGCTAGGGCTCCCCGTCCCAGAATGAAACCCGTGAGGCGGACTGTCCATACCCGTCCCGAAATCGGATGCGCCTGGGGCGAAAAACGACACAGACGAAGCTCGCCGGTGTGCGGTTACCCTGTCTCTCGGTGTTGCACCTGCCGGACCTCGCGCTGAGCTCGACGCGAGAAGCTTCCGCCTCAAATCGTCCGCCGGACCTGCTTTCGCCGCCACAGGGTGCGCTGAACCCGCCTCAGTTCCCGCCCCTGTCCCCATCCCCGCCCCCGTCCCGGTCACCGCACCTCCGCCACCCCCCGCCTCCACTCCCCCTGCGCCTTCCCGCTTGGAGAACGGCACGCATGCGCCAGTGGCAGAAGGATCGTCCAGCGACCCGCCCGCGGTGCTCTCTACAAGCTTACGCAGATCCCTCGCATGCACGGCGGAGGGCGGGCGGTTGGGCGCGGAGGCGGAAGCGGCGGAGGCGGAGTGGGGGCTGTGGTGGGTGCTGTGGTAGGTGTGCCAGGCGGCATGCGCTTTGGAAAGGAGGGAGAGCGTTCGGTCCGTGGGGGGGACGGGCTTTTCGCGGTAGCCGATCGTGTTGGGTACGTCGTCTGAAAGAAGACGCAACGCACGGGATGGGGAAGAAGGGAGGAAGAAATAGAAGTGGGGGAGCGAGAGCGGGAAAGGGGAAGGGGGTGGGGACGTAGGGAAAGAGGAGAAAGAGAGGATATTTTACCCTTTTCCGGCTTATACATAAATATGACAATCCTTCAGATTGTTTTAGAGAGCTTCAATTACTTTACGGCTTTATGTGCTGCCGTATCTCATATTTCCCTGACATCAGCACTAGGCCTTTACGATATAAAAAAATGCTAATAAATTTGGTCTCGTTTCCGAAAAAAAACACAATACCGTAAGAGAGCATTGTTACCTGCTGTAATAAATCAACCTTTTTGTCCAGGAGACTAGGTGTGGACATCAGAAAATGACGCATCATGGGGCTTGCTTGAAATTGACTTGCTATAATCGAGCGAAAAGGACGAGGTTGTGAATAACAAGCACAAAAATAGCAATGAGTCAGCAAACAGACCAGCAGTATCAACTCACATCTTGAAACACAGGCTGACGTTTTGAGCCACTCGCTGATCTCCGCAAGCTTCCCTCCAGCGTGCCTCTGCAAGTCGTCTAGACACGATAACTTATCAGCGACCGGGTCCATTGAATTAATGCCGACTATTTTCAGGGTCGTCTTTGAATTAGGACTTATCACCAAAAACGCCGTCATTGGCTTCACGCGGTACGCGTATCCCACGTCAGCAGGCGCCGATCCTATATCGATTATTTCTACTGGACCGTGCTGTTTCGACGGGTCCGGACCGCTTCCGTTATTCTCGTCGTCCTCGCTAAAGCATGAGCACGTTTGCGGGATAATACCGAGGTTCCACTGTACATTGTCCTGGTAGTGCGCGGGAGCACCGTTCGATTCGCGAAGTCTCAACGGCTGATAAAGCTCTGAAACGGCTACTTCTAACTGTAACCACGAGCCTTTAGGCGTAGTGCAGACCATCTCGATACAGTCACCGGCGGATAACGTGGCGGGAACCGTGCCATCGTTAGAGTCAAACCGAAGCGGTAAGTCGTGCCAGGGGGAAACTGGATGGACTAAATTGGCAGTACTGCTAGCTGACGTGGCACTTGCCGGGCTTGCTAACAGGAACTTGCGGTATACTAACGAACCTTCAGGTCCGAAATCCATGTCGAAGCCAATTCACAGTTGTGCGAAGCTATGATCGCAACAGCAGCAGATAACCGAACAATCGGCAACACTACCTTGAGGAAACTTCGATGGCGTCGTCTGAGCCTGAGAACGGCCTGTAACTACTCCTCTAGTGGACTCTAGCACTCTGCTGGACAACAAAAGCTGGTAGCCTTTTGGCCAACAATTTCTATGGAACCGTCATTTTGAAAAGCACCCTCCTGCTCTCATTACAATCAGTGAGTGGCTCTATTTGTGATTTAACGCGGTCAAATACAAATATAGAACGTTCGAGTGGGATAATGAGCAAAAGTGGGAGGCAGGGTTATCTGTCAACAAACTGAAGGTGTTATCAGCCATGTTCAGTGCGATCTACAACGGTTAAGTTTACGAACAGAATGTTTAAAACTGGTTCTGAGGATAACCGAACACTTGCTACGGACCAGCAGCAAGCGCAGGGGTGAACCTTGAGGTTGTCATCCTTTCCGAACCGGGCCTGTTGGCTTGGGTTCAAAGTTCAGCCTGGTCCATGGTGGTGCTGCTGCTGGCGTGGTTGAAAGGGACGGAGTGAGGGGGAGGCTTGTCCGTACGTATAGAGCCAGAGGTAAGGAAGCCCTGAGGGTGAAAAATCGGGTACGTTCTGTTGTCTCTTCTGCAGGGTTGAGAACAATCAATCGACGGTTGTCGTCGAAGTGAGGTCTGGCTCGGAGGTCGAGCTTGTGAGGCTAGTGGCGTGGAAAATACTTACGAGTAGTCACAGCCGTCAGATCAAATCTCCATGTCGATGGCAGTTGAAGTTTAGATTGTCTGCTGTACCGAACAACCAGCGTATGGACAGAAGCGACAGATTTTCAGCATCATGCCAGCCTGGCTATTGTTTGTCTGTCTTCCTAGCAATGCCTTACTTGCACGCCTTCTCGCTAGCATTGAAAACAAGGCCATAGTACACGACTGCTGTTCTCAATTCACTAACCGAAACAGAAAGCATTATATTCGGATATAATTACTTTCATATCTAACACACACCTACTACTGCTGGTAGGTGCATGTCCTAAAGGGTATTCCTGAGTAGGAGTCTCAACTCCAGTAAGATAACCCTCCACTCCCAATTCAACCTTTCTATCAGTGATGACTGGTTTCAAATGTTGGCCGATATATACCCACCATAACACTTCGTAAGGCCCTTTCAGATCCATGTGATCCAGCAGCTGCTGTGGCTGTTACCACAGCTAGTCACTCCCAGACAGCATACAGCCCCAACACACACTTAGCAGAAATGACAGCGCGATAAGTGCTGCAACCTTTCCTTTCCAGGATTCGTTGCATTTGTTGGGAACAAACAATCTTAAGCGCCTCTGTCGTGTCGAAACATCGAGGCACAAGCGAAGCAGAGCATATCGAGGCACCAGCGAGTCAACCCTCGGAGGTTGAAGTAACCGCTGGAGGTTACGCGAAAGTCAAAGGTCAGCGACCTTTGACTTGACAAATGCAGCGCGACAGCAAGGACACACAACTGACTCGACATTGAGCAGTTGCCCGAGTCGCACTGTATCGAACCGCAACAGTAAAACAGTTTAATTACATCTCTTCGTATTCTTTGTACTCTTATATAAACCTTTGTACTTGCTTGTTTTAATCAACTTACTTTGCCCTCACATACCAGCGCAAGGTGGTTCAATGACTTCATTTAAAACGCTTCCGCTACTACATCACTCTACCCAGAGTTTAACCCTACCAAAGATCCTAAGGGGCACTCAGCCCAACATGGTATGAGAGCTGGTTAGGGTTAAAATTATTTCTCCTTAACACCTAATACACCAAGAGACATGTCTACCAGAAAGGAGAGGAGCTCCTCCAACGGCTCTCCTGGTACTACTCCTACTCCACCTCCTGCCTCTGGCCTACAGACAGAGGAAGGCACAACAACGAGACCGGCAGCTGGGTCTACTGAAACACCCGCAAACCAAGGCGCGGGCTTCGATCCAAGCATGATGGAGAAGTTCTTCTCCTTCATGTCCTTCTACGAGCAGCATCAGCAAGGAGCACCTGCGCAATCAAACAACAGCAACAACAACAACAACGTGACGCCCATGAGTCTCGATGGCTCATCCTACGCACGCGGGAATCAACAACAGCAACCTACCTTTGCTCCGTACGAGCCCCAGCGCGGCTCCGTCAGCTTCATGCCACAACCACAACCTGCACCGGGACAAGAGAGAACGCTGGACGCACTACAAGTTCAGTCGCAGTTCGCGCACGTTCTAAAACTGCAAACGACAAAACCCTTCGACGGGAAGGATTTCTTTACCTGGTCGTTCGAATTCGAGCTGATGATGGAAGGAGCGCAAATCCTTGGCTTCTTCGACGGGTCCCTGCCATACCCAACAAACGGCACACAGTATGAGAAGCAGCAGTACACCTATCAATCGATGATGGCGTACACGATACTACTGAGGAACATCACTCCAACCCAACAACAAAACATACGGTCTTACCGAGGCTACGGCAACTCCGCGGAGCTCGCGTACAATCACTTGAAGAGCCTGTATCAAGCAACAGACAGCGTAAACCAAAGTCGGTTAATGGCGCAGCTGACAACAATCGAAATGAAACCAGGCGAGAAGGGAATGGCGTATATCAGTCGCTGCCGCGAGCTGCGCGACAAGCTTCTTCGATGTGGAGGATCGATTTCAGAGGACGCCTTCGTCACGGTTGTCATCGGCGGTCTTGGTCCTCACTGGCGCTCCACTCGCGCCATACTACGAGCCCACGGGAAAATTTCTGAAGCAGCACTTTGCGCCGAAATCCACGCCGAGCAGCAAGACATGGACATGCAAGAAGAACGACACAAGAGAAAGGTATCAGTGCCCGAATTCGCGTTTCACACTCAACGGCGCCACAACAACAACAACAATCGACCGAAAATTGTACCTCCGTTCTGCCACCTCTGCAAGACTTCAGGGCATCCTCGTACGCACTGCCCGAATCGACAACAGTCAACGTCGCCGCAACGCCAACTTCACCCTTCAAGCAGTCAAGTCGCCTCAACACAAGCAAATCCGACAACTTCAGTACAAGTCTCAACAACATCGACGGGACAACCTGCGAAAGGAACAAGAAACATCGTCAGCTGCATGGCAAGGCTGAGTGACTCCTGCGTAACTGAGTCACCACCATATTACTCACCAGAAGAACAACTCGACAACAGCACGCCTCGCCGCGAGTCACTTCAACCGAACCCGACGTACGCCGCCATCGCTCAAAGCGAGCCGTCCGGGAAGGATACATGGTTCTTGGACAGTCGCTGCGGACAACATATGTGCTCTTCAGGACGTTTCGTTCAACGCGAGCACCAACTTCAACGAGAAGTCGTCATCACTGTCGCCAATAATCAGAACCTGCGCACACGACGACAAGGAGTAGTGCAACTTCAGTCACGAGAGACGAATGTCATACTGCAAATGTCCAAAGTCCTAATAGCAGAAGGACTTGGCTACAACTTACTGAGCGTCAGTCAGTTGATGACGAAAGGCATACATCTGGAAGCCGACAGTACCACCCAGGAGTTCAAGCTGTACCACGGGAAGGGCGGCCTCTACATCGGAAAGGCGGTCCTGAAGAACAATGTCTTCGTTCCTGATTTCGTCCCAGACCTGGGCACCGCAGACAGTGACGGGATCGTCACCTTCACATCTTGGACACACCCGCCGGATCTCGACCCCGACTTCAGTCCGGAAGGCTTTTGGTATTCACATACCATTCCTGAAGCAGAACGAACACGTGCGTTAGTAACAATACAACATTCGGCAGCAGCAGAGACAACATCGGCAGCAACAGAGACAACATCGGCAGCAGCAGAGACAACATCGGCAGCAGCAGAGACAACATCGGCAGCAGCAGAGACATCATCGGCAGCAGCAGAGACATCATCGGCAGTAGCAGGAACAACAACAGTAGCAGCAACAACGACACCACTCCTCGTTGACGAAGCACCACCAACACCCGCACAGCAGCTGAATCCGGCTCAACGGGAAGTCCATAGAAGCGCAAACTTCACCGCCAGCTTCTACTCCAACTCCGACGCGTATCGACGCTCACCCGGACACCGCGCCTCCGAAGACATCTGGTACGCACGCATGGGACACCCAAGCAACACTGTGTTAAACAACACAATAAGAGCAGGAGTCCTTGACAAGGACTCGTTACTACTACTCGACGGCAGAGAACTTCAACGGGCACGAGGAACATGTCTTACCTGCCCCGAAGCCGACTTACCACATCGGCCGTTCACTCCTCATCACAACCCGAGCACACCCGCGTACGCACCACTCGAAAAGGTGTATAGCGACATCCTGTACAATCGGGAACCAGGACAAGTAATATACAACTACACAATCACCTTCATCGACGCCGCCACCCGTTACGTCTGGCATCTAAACCTACCCAGCCGCGACATGGTCCTCGAAGCATTCGCTGCTTGGCTACCAGTAGCAGAAAGAGAGTCGGGCGTAAAGCTGAAAAGCTTCCAGTCTGACGGAGGAGGAGAATACACCTCTCAGCGATTCAAGCAGTACCTGGCGGAAAGGGGAATCAAGCAGCTCCTCTCTCTTCCCTACGCCCATCAGCAGCAAGGTGTAGCAGAAAGAATGTACAGGACTCTGCAGAACAGCATGCGCAAACTGTTGCGTGGCATGCGGCTACCCAACCACCAGTGGCCTGACGCGATGGACCACGCTGTCATGCTGCACAACTTGCTCTCATCTTCATCATTACCGAACAACGCATCACCGCATCTGCTGTGGACAGGAAAACAGGGCAGCACAAAAATGTTACGAGTGTTCGGATGCATGGTACAGTACCGACCCCCAGCAGCACGAGCGGGCCGATTTTCACAACGCGCACAGTGGGGACTACACCTCGGCATCGAAAAGAACTACAACGCGTGGAAAATCTTTGACGTCCACTCCAAGGAAACAGTAGCAGCACGCGACGTCATTTTCTACGAACGACTCACGCTCCAGACATACCTTGCCAACCTGCAAGAGGACCAAGATCCCACAGGTGGTTTTCGTGGTGACCGAGCCTTCGCCTCGGCAGCAGACGAAGCTGACTGGGACGAGCAGAATGTGGCCAACGCATCAGAAGAAGCTGGACCCCTTCCGCTCTGCTCCGTCGACGTCCCCATGGACGAAGATAACCCTCGCGAAAGTGTCAACGCCGAAACCTTCTACTACTTCGCCGACAACGGTTACGTAACACCTGCGACAGTCAACACCAACGAAGCAGAACGAGTAGGACCGAATTTCATACCTGATCCAGAAGCGGGAGATGAAGCAGCTTATCCCGAGGATGCAACTCTTCCCCGCTATTCACAGACTGGACTGCAGATTCTCGGACTCGTCACCGCAGTCCACGGCAACACTCTTCCTAAGGAGCCTGCGACGGTTCAGCAGGCTCTGGGGGGGGAACACAGGGAAAAATGGCGTGAAGCCATGGACAGAGAGTTAAAGGCGCTGGAGGAACGGAACACCTGGAAAGTTGTCCCCATCAGCGTGGCAAGGAACAAGACCATTCTCACCGGGAAATGGGTCTTCCGCGTTAAAACAAAAGCAGACGGCACAATTGAGAAGTTCAAAGCACGCTGGGTTGTGCGTGGATTCGATCAGGAGCACGGACGGGACTTCACCGAGACATTCGCCCCGGTTAGCCGACATACCTCACTTCGAATCCTCCTCGCGATCGCCGCCATGAAGAAAAGGAAGCTACGGCAAATCGATGTCGCCAACGCGTTCCTCTACGCACCTGTCGACGTGGAAATTTTCGTCGAGCTCCCACACGGTACCAACGGGGAACCTAACCAAGTCTGTCAACTGCTGAAATCACTTTACGGGATCAAGCAAGCTCCGCGGCTATGGCAACAGTACCTACACGCTCGCCTCATTCGCATCGGATTCCGCCAACTACCTCACGACCAAGGAATGTACCGACTCACTAAAGACACCGACTACATTCTGCTGATCGTCTACGTAGACGACCTACTCTACATCGGCTCCACTGACGACATCACCACCTGGTTCGAAGGGGAGCTACAGAGGGACCTCACACTCACGGTCTCCTCTACCGTCACACAGTACCTCGGCTTGAACGTTCGGGAAGAAGAAGGCGCGATCTACCTCAACGCCGCTAAGTACGCCGACACCATCGCCAAACGCTTCGCGCTCACACCTACCACCATCTCTACGCCCTACCGCTACGCGACAGGAAACCACAAGGAAGGATCCTCTCTACTCAAATCCGTCGGGATACGCGACTACCAGAGAAAGCTAGGATGCCTTCTCTTCGCAGCTGTCACCTGCCGCCCCGACCTCTCATACTCCGCAAGCCAGCTCGCCACCTACCTCAAGAAGCCTGAAGCAGAACACCTGGCGGAGCTCGACCGCGCTCTCCACTACTTCGTCAGTACCTCAACGATCGGCCTAACTTACTACAAGAACACAACTACACCGACTAAATTAATCGGCTACGTCGACGCTGATCACGCTGGCGACTCCGACAACAGGCGCTCCCGCACCGGCTACATCTACCGCCTCGAACCTATCGGACCGATCTCCTGGCAATCGAGCAAGCAGGAATTAATTGCTCTCTCGTCAGCTGAAACAGAATATATTGCACTCTGCTCAGCCACCAAGGAAGGACTCTATCTTCGCGAGCTGCTGGAAGAAGCGAAGTTAGCCGAGTTACCCAACTTCACTCTGTTCTGCGACAACCAATCTGCAATTCGCATTGCCAACAAAAATGGATTCGCGAACAGAACGAAGCATATCGCTCTGCGATATTTCTTCGTGAAAGACGAGATTGAGAAGGGGAGACTTGAACTATCCTACTGTCCCACGTCCGAGATGTCAGCTGACTACTTGACCAAGAAGCTCGGAAAACAGAAGTTCGAGTACTGCATGCTGCTGACTGGACAAAGCCACGTCACCAGCAGCGACACTCCAGAAGCGAAGGGGAGTGTTGGGAACAAACAATCTTAAGCGCCTCTGTCGTGTCGAAACACCAAGGCACAAGCGAAGCAGAGCATATCGAGGCACCAGCGAGTCAACCCTCGGAGGTTGAAGTAACCGCTGGAGGTTACGCGAAAGTCAAAGGTCAGCGACCTTTGACTTGACAAATGCAGCGCGACAGCAAGGACACACAACTGACTCGACATTGAGCAGTTGCCCGAGTCGCACTGTATCGAACCGCAACAGTAAAACAGTTTAATTATATCTCTTCGTATTCTTTGTACTCTTATATAAACCTTTGTACTTGCTTGTTTTAATCAACTTACTTTGCCCTCACATACCAGCGCAAGGTGGTTCAAGGACTTCATTTAAAACGCTTCCGCTACTACATCACTCTACGCAGAGTTTAACCCTACCAAAGATCCTAAGGGGCACTCAGCCCAACAGCATTCAGGTCTGCTGTAGTTCCCTCGGTGGGGATCTACAGTGAATCGTTCTACAGTACACGGAGCTACAGTTGAAACTTCTACACACCAAGGGGCTACAATAAAGTATTTCACAATTAACGAGGCTGCAGTACCATACGTCCCTAGCAGACGACCATGGCCCAAATTTCAAGGGTATTTTACCCTTTTTGCCCTGCTCATAGGCCACTTTTTGGTAGTTACCCTTTTCAAATCAGGGTATGCAGATTTTTACCCTAGTGCAATCAGAATACGTTCTTAAGCGAGAGAGACGGGAGGAGGGTGGGAGGAGGGAGCAAGAGAGACGGGAGGAGGGTGGGAGAGGGAGCAAGAGAGACGGGAGGAGGGTGGGAGAGGGAGCAAGAGAGACGGGAGGAGGGTGGGAGAGGGAGCAAGAGAGACGGGAGGAGGGTGGGAGAGGGAGCAAGAGAGACGGGAGGAGGGGTGGGAGAGGGAGCAAGAGAGACGGGAGGAGGGTGGGAGAGGGAGCAAGAGAGACGGGAGGAGGGTGGGAGAGGGAGCAAGAGAGACGGGAGGAGGGTGGGAGAGGGAGCAAGAGAGACGGGAGGAGGGTGGGAGAGGGAGCAAGAGAGACGGGAGGAGGGTGGGAGAGGGAGCAAGAGAGACGGGAGGAGGGTGGGAGAGGGAGCAAGAGAGACGGGAGGAGGGTGGGAGAGGGAGCAAGAGAGACGGGAGGAGGGTGGGAGAGGGAGCAAGAGAGACGGGAGGAGGGTGGGAGAGGGAGCAAGAGAGACGGGAGGAGGGTGGGAGAGGGAGCAAGAGAGACGGGAGGAGGGTGGGAGAGGGAGCAAGAGAGACGGGAGGAGGGTGGGAGAGGGAGCAAGAGAGACGGGAGGATGGTGGGAGAGGGAGCAAGAGAGACGGGAGGAGGGTGGGAGAGGGAGCAAGAGAGACGGGAGGAGGGTGGGAGAGGGAGCAAGAGAGACGGGAGGAGGGTGGGAGAGGGAGCAAGAGAGACGGGAGGAGGGTGGGAGAGGGAGCAAGAGAGACGGGAGGAGGGTGGGAGAGGGAGCAAGAGAGACGGGAGGAGGGTGGGAGAGGGAGCAAGAGAGACGGGAGGATGGTGGGAGAGGGAGCAAGAGAGACGGGAGGAGGGTGGGAGAGGGAGCAAGAGAGACGGGAGGAGGGTGGGAGAGGGAGCAAGAGAGACGGGAGGAGGGTGGGAGAGGGAGCAAGAGAGATGGGAGGAGGGTGGGAGAGGGAGCAAGAGAGACGGGAGGAGGGTGGGAGAGGGAGCAAGAGAGACGGGAGGAGGGTGGGAGAGGGAGCAAGAGAGACGGGAGGAGGGTGGGAGAGGGAGCAAGAGAGACGGGAGGAGGGTGGGAGAGGGAGCAAGAGAGATGGGAGGAGGGTGGGAGAGGGAGCAAGAGAGATGGGAGGAGGGTGGGAGAGGGAGCAAGAGAGACGGGAGGAGGGTGGGAGAGGGAGCAAGAGAGACGGGAGGATGGTGGGAGAGGGAGCAAGAGAGACGGGAGGAGGGTGGGAGAGGGAGCAAGAGAGACGGGAGGAGGGTGGGAGAGGGAGCAAGAGAGACGGGAGGAGGGTGGGAGAGGGAGCAAGAGAGATGGGAGGAGGGTGGGAGAGGGAGCAAGAGAGACGGGAGGAGGGTGGGAGAGGGAGCAAGAGAGACGGGAGGAGGGTGGGAGAGGGAGCAAGAGAGACGGGAGGAGGGTGGGAGAGGGAGCAAGAGAGACGGGAGGAGGGTGGGAGAGGGAGCAAGAGAGACGGGAGGAGGGTGGGAGAGGGAGCAAGAGAGACGGGAGGAGGGTGGGAGAGGGAGCAAGAGAGACGGGAGGAGGGTGGGAGAGGGAGCAAGAGAGACGGGAGGAGGGTGGGAGAGGGAGCAAGAGAGATGGGAGGAGGGTGGGAGAGGGAGCAAGAGAGACGGGAGGAGGGTGGGAGAGGGAGCAAGAGAGACGGGAGGAGGGTGGGAGAGGGAGCAAGAGAGACGGGAGGATGGTGGGAGAGGGAGCAAGAGAGACGGGAGGAGGGTGGGAGAGGGAGCAAGAGAGACGGGAGGAGGGTGGGAGAGGGAGCAAGAGAGACGGGAGGAGGGTGGGAGAGGGAGCAAGAGAGATGGGAGGAGGGTGGGAGAGGGAGCAAGAGAGACGGGAGGAGGGTGGGAGAGGGAGCAAGAGAGACGGGAGGAGGGTGGGAGAGGGAGCAAGAGAGACGGGAGGAGGGTGGGAGAGGGAGCAAGAGAGACGGGAGGAGGGTGGGAGAGGGAGCAAGAGAGTGTCTGCTGCAGAGATAAGAAGGCGGCTGAAAGCCAGAGAGGAAGGAGAGGGGCAACGGAGGAGTCATTTTTGAGAATTCTCAGAATTGATGGTCAGAGAGGAAGGAGAGGGGCAACAGAGGAGTCATATTTAAGAGGAAGGAATTGATTGTCAGAATTGTTTTTTCAGAATTGATTGTCAGAATTGATTTTTCAGAATTGATTGTCAGAATTGATTTTTCAGAATTGATTGTCAGAGGGGAAAGAGAGGGGCAACAGAGCATCAGCAGTAGCAGATGCACATGCAGGTGCAGTGCAGCAGCAGCAGCAGCAGCAGCAGCAGCAGCAGCAGCAGCAGCAGCAGCAGCAGCAGCAGCAGCAGCAGCAGCAGCAGCAGCAGCAGCAGCAGCAGCAGCAGCAGCAGCAGCAGCAGCAGCAGCAGCAGCAGCAGCAGCAGCAGCAGCAGGGGACACCAGCCCAGCCAAGGTTCGGAGAGGCGAGGCAGCAGCAGAGAGAGCGGCAACAAAGGAGCTTCTAAGCCCAACATGAGTGTGAAAGAATAACCACGTGAAATTACAAGTGTTTTGAGACGTCTCAAAACACTTCTAGTTGCAGAGAGAGCGGCAACAAAGGGGCTTTTGAGCCCAACATGAGCGTGAAAGAATCACGAGCACTCACCGCAGCAGCAGAGGATCAGCAGGTGCAGATGCAGGGGACAGCAGCCCAGCTAGAGCACGGAGCCAAACTCATAGCGGAATAGCAGCATACCTGATGTGACGCTTACGCGACTGAAAGAATCGAAACAATAATTCTTCCTAGAAACTCAAGTAAAACAAGATACTCTCCAACTCGTACGGAATCCTATATTGGAGTGACTTTTGAGAATTCTCAAAAGTCACTCCAATATAACTCACCGGAGCAGCAGAGGATCAGCAGGTGCAGATGCAGGGGACAGCAGCCCAGCTAAAGCACGGAGAGGCGAGGCAGCAGTGAGGGGGTTTGCTGCGAGGGAGGTGCTGTTGGGGTTGGCGCCACTGGCGAGCAGCAGCGCAGAGAGGGTGGGGTCTGTGGTGCCGTAGAGCGTGGGGAGGGGGGCTGACAGCCCGCCCTGCTGGAAGGGGGGGGGGGAGGTTGGAGGGGAGACGGTGAGGAAGAGTGAATAAAAACAACAAGGGCAGCACGGAGCAGAGAGCGTGGGGTCTGTGGTGCCATAGAGCGTGGGGAGAGGGGGTGACGGCCCGCCCTGCTGGAAAAGAACAGGGGGGACAAAGGGGCAATATGTGGGGGCAGGGCAGAGCAGAGAGTGTGGGGTCTGTGACTTTGTGGTGCCCTAGAGCGTGGGGAGAGGGGCTGATGGCCCGCCCTGCTGCAAGGGGAGGGGAGGATGGGAGGGAAGACGGTGAGGAAGAGTGAGGAGGAATAATGAGGGAGGGTGAAAAGAAAAAGGGCTAAAAAAGGGCAACATGGAGCAGAGAGGGGCGGACAGCGGATAACACCGAAAAGAACAGGTGGAGAAGCCAGGGCAACGCGGTCGCGTGGGAGCAAAGGCGTGAGGGTGGGATTGGTCGTATAAAAAACCATGGGGAGGGGAGAGGGGTTGAGGAAAGGGGAGGAAGGAAGGGGCGGAGGTGGGGATGAAACGAGGAGAAAACGGCCTAGGGTGGATGTCTGAGGGGTGTATGATCGACATGAGGATGATAGGGGGTGGAAATCCATTGTGTGGGAGAAATTGATCCGATGCAACCCCAGGAAACCGTGGATCAGGGCCGGATTGAAGTGCAACCGGACTGAACCGGACTGAACAGCACCGGACCAAATTGAGCAGAGCAGAGCTCAGGACATGTGCGGCGAAGGGGGGAAGAGGAAGGACGCTTACCTCGTTGCTGCGAGTGGTTCGGGTGAGCAGCTGCTGCAGCACAGACTGGCACCACACAGAGAGCGAGGAGAGGGCAAAAGAGACGCATGGGGGAAGGATGGAGAATGAAGAGACGCAAGGATGAGAGAGTTGAGATTCTGCTTGAAGGGAAGCAAAGCATACTTTTCTGAGGGCCGTGGCTGTATTTTCACAAGTATCAAACATGCCCCTCTACAGGCCACACCAGAGCAGGGCCTACCTCGACAGGCTGTACCTGGGCAGGACTTAGAGAGCCCACCTTGACTTTAAGCCCACTTTGCCTTAAAGCCCACCTTGACGGAGAGCAGCATGTGGTGCGAGTCAGCAGAGGCGGTGGCGGAGAGGCTAAACTCAAGAACCCACCTCGCCAGGCCCTCTCTTGAAAGACCCCTCCCAACTTCACTTAAAGCCCACCTTGACAGAGAGCAGCATGTGGTGCGAGTCAGCAGAGGCGGTGGCCGAGAGACCAAACTCCCCTGCTAGTGGCGTGAGCGTGCTGATGAATAGCATGCGGTCGTGCTCCGCTCTCTGGGGATGGAGGGGGCGAGGGTATGGAGGAGTGCAGGAAGAGAGAGGGGAGAATAGGGCACAGGGGAACACACGCAGAGTGAGCAACACATGCAAGAGGGCATGCGCATGAGGCACGGGGGAGCACGGCGTGAGCGTGCTGATGAATAGCATGCGGTCATGCTCTGCCCGCTGGGGATGGAGGGGGCGAGGGTATGGAGGAGTGCAGGAAGAGAGGGGAGAATAGGGCACAGGGGAACACAGACAGGCAGAGTGAGCGTGGTGATGAATAGCATGCGGTCGTGCTCCGCTCGCTGGGGATGGAGGGGGGGAAGGAGATGGGGGATTGCAGGGGGAGAGAGAGGGCATGTGCATGCGGCACAGAGGAGCATGGCGTGAGCGTGGTGATGAACAGCATGCGGTCATGCTCCGCTCGCTGGGGAAGGGGAGGGGTATGGGAGAATGTGGAAGAGGGCATGCGCATGAGGCACGGGGGAGCACGGCATGAGCGTGGTGACAAACAGCATGCGGTCATGCTCCACTCGCTGGGGAAGGAGGGGAGAAGTGGGGGGGGGGGGGGGAGGAGGGAGAGGAGTGGGAGCATGGGTCACAAAGAAGCAGAGTGTGAGCGTTATGATGAATAGCATTCGGTCATGCTCGCTCACTCCGGTGTGACCCACGGGGCTACATACCATACAACCCACTCCTCTCCCAGGGCACGCCACTCCAGTCCAGATTCCAGAACACAGCACGCACACACCATGCACTCAAGGCTCAGGGAACGCACCTCCAGCGCGAGCGTGAGGCGCACATTCTCCTCCAGCACGTCGCGGCGGCACCTCATGGCCCTCCTCCCTACTCGCAGCAGCCAACTCTAGAGCACAGCACACAGCACACAGCAGGCATGGCATGCACCTCAAGAGCACACACAATGCCCCCAGAGCGCACCTCTCTAGGGCACGAGTGAGGCGCACGTCCCGGCAGTGCCCCATGGCCTTCTGGTGGGCCCCACGAGGCGAGGCTACACACACCACACACTCCTTATAGGCCACGCACAATGCTCTCAAGGCTGACAGCACGCACCTCCAGCGTGCGGGTGAGGCGCACGTTCTCCTCCAACACGTCCCGGCGGTACCCCATGGCCTTCTGGTGTTGCCCATGACACCACACACTGCTCCCAGGGCACGCCACTCCAGTCCAGACTCTAGAGCACAGCACGCACAGTGCCCCCAGCCAGAACGCACCTACAGCGCGCAGGTGAGGCGCACCCATGGCCTTCCTCCCTACTGCTGGCAGGCAACTCTAGAGCACAGCACACAGCAGACATTGCACAGCATGCAGAACACACCGCATGCACCTCAAGGGCACACATCTCACAGCACGCACCTCCAGCGCGCGGGTGAGGCGCACGTTCTCCTCCAGCACGTCCCGGCGGTTCCCCATGGCCTTCGTCCCTCCTCGCCGCAGGCAACTCCAGAGCATACACAATGCCCCCAGCTCACACAATGCCCCCAGCTCACACAATGCCCCCAGCTCACACAATGCCCCCAGCTCACACAATGCCCCCAGCACAAACGCACCTCCAGTGCACGAGTGAGGCGCACATTCTCCTCCAGCACGTCCCGGCGGTACCCCATGGCCTTCTGGGCCGACCCCATCAGGTTCTGCTGCTGCCCGTCGAATGCCTGGTCCATGCGATGTGAATGTGAATGTGAATGTGATGTGTATGTGAAAGCGGGGTGGGAAATGAGGAATAGGGGAGGAGGCTATAAGACGTCTCACAAGTGAGACAGACAGACCCCATCAGCTTCTGCTGCTGCACGTCAAGGGCCTGCCGCTCTGTGCGATGTGAGTGTGAACGTGACACGATGTGAGTGTGAACGTGACACGATGTGAGTGTGAATGTGACACGATGTGAGTGTGAATGTGACACGATGTGAGTGAGTGTGAACGTGACACGATGTGAGTGTGAACGTGACACGATGTGAGTGTGAACGTGACACGATGTGAGTGTGAACGTGACACGATGTGAGTGTGAATGTGACACGATGTGAGTGTGAACGTGACACGATGTGAGTGTGAACGTGACACAATGTGAATGTGAACGTGACACGATGTGAGTGTGAATGTGACACGATGTGAGTGTGAATGTGACACGATGTGATTATGAATGTGACACGATGTGAGTGTGAATGTGACACGATGTGAGTGTGAACGTGACACGATGTGAGAGTGAATGTGACACGATGTGAGTGTGAATGTGACACGATGTGAGTGTGAATGTGACACGATGCGATGCGATGCTATGCGATGCGAATACCACATGACAGCAACTAGCATATCTCATAGACTCCTGAAGAAGTGATGCGTATGATGCGCATGGTGAGGTGAGGGGCGGTGAAGTGAGCTGGAGTGAGGTGCAGTGAGGTGAGGGTCTCACCAGTCGCAGCTCTGACATCCTGCGCTCCAGAGATCGCTTCTCTGCCTGCAGCTGTGCCTCCTGCACAGGTGATACCGCACACAGGATTGATACACAGCAGGGGAGACAGGGGGGGGAGAGGAGAGGTGGTAGGGGAAAGGAGGGGAGGAGGAGAAGGAGGCGGGGGAGGAGAGGGGTGGGATAGCTTGAACAGGGGGGACGGGTAGGAAGGAACGAGGGGAGCAATCTAGTTTTGAGACGTCTCAAAACTGGAGCAGGCATATCATATAAGTGTGAAATCGGACCTTACAAAAGAATAGAAGGAAGCACATGCGCGCACTGAGGCCAATGATTCTTCTGAGGAGGAACTTACCTTGCCTTGCCTCCTGGCAACTCACCCGGGTCTGGGCAGCAGCAGCAGCCAGCAGCCAGCAGCTTGTCCTTGCTTCGAACCTGCTTGGTGCTGGCGTTAACAGCATGCATGTTGCAGAGTGAACTCACCCGCGCCTGGGCAGCAGCCAGCAGCTTGTCCTTGCTTCGAACCTGCTCCTCCAACGATGCCACTCGCTGCATCAGCTCGCCCACGTTCACAGACCTGTCTCCGCCGCCCGCCGCCGACCCGCTGGGGCCGGACGCTGCCGCCCCACCCGTTGACCGAGTCAGGTCGTTTGCGAAGGGCTGGTACAAGCGGAGAGGATAGAAGGAAAAGCGTGAGAGAGAAAGAGAGAGAGGGCGGGAGAAAAATCCGCGTGTAATGAGTCGTGTTTTGAGTCGACTCAAAACGTGAAGGGCTGGTACAAGCAGAGAGGATAGAAGGAAATGCTTGAGAGAGCTCGAGAGAGGGAGGGAGAAAAATTCAGGAGCATCTTCTTGTATAGATTTTTTGGCATGAGTTCACATGATGACAATAACGAGACTAGAGTTTAAAGTTCGATTGTAAGCTGTCTCTACTGCTCTCTTCTCTATATCCACTCTCCTCTCTCCTATCTCACCTGCAGAGAAGCCAGCTGGCTTGATGACGTGGAGTTGGAGGGGTGCACAGTCAGCGACTGACGGTCAAAGGGAGTCAACGCAAGGCTGTCACGCTCCCCATCCAGCACTTGCCCCGTCAGCCCGCCCCCCGCCCCTCCGTTCATCAACCCATTCGCTCCACCACCCTCCCCTCCTGCCCCCAGTCCCCCTCCTTCTCCCCCTCCCCCCCCCCCCTGCGCCTCCCCCCGCTCCCCCCCTTGCGCCGCCCCCAGCTCCGCCTCCCCCTGCTGCCTGCGCCACAGCAGCAGCCAGAGAACCGTTTACAGACAGCTTCTGCAGCAGTCGCTCCAGCAGAGCTGCTTCTAAGTCCTTCTCTCCTCCTCCCCCTCCCCCTCCTCCTCCCATTCCTACCATTCCTCCGTCTCCACCCCCTCCCATTCCCCCTCCTCCTCCCAGCCCTACCCCTCCTCCGTCCCCTACCATCCCGCCCAAATGCCCAATACCACCTTCCCCAGCAACCACCTGATCTGATCCTAGCAGCCCCCCCATTCCACCACTGTTACCACCAGCCATTCCTGGTGCTACAGCTGCTGCTACAGCAGCCATAATCCCTTCTCCTCTCCCTCCCCCTACTGCCCCTTCAGCCCCACCTGCTACAGCAGGAGCAGCAGCACCGTTACCTCCTACTCCTGCTGCTGCACTGCCTATTCCCAAAATCTGCGGACTTCCAACTAAAGCGCCACTAAAACCGCCTGGATGGCCACTAAACGCGCCCGCCCCTGCTACGCCTGCAACAGTTGCACCTGCCCCAGGTAAACCTGGACTGAGCCCCGCGCCTGTACTGGCGGAAGGGGGAAGGCGCGCGGAGGAAGGGGAGAGCAGACCGTCCACGTCAGGAGGCGCGGAACTTGCTAGCGCCTGGGGGGGTGGTGAGAGAGCAAGGCGAGGAGAGTATGGGTCGAGAAAGAAAAAACTCAAAAGGGCATCAGAATTGGGTCTATAAGGTGGCATACGAAAGGAGGGCAGGGATTGAAATGACGCAAGAACCCAACTCGAGTTGCTTCAAAAAGGGAGTGGAGGGAGAGGGTCACGGGAGGCGGGGAGAGGGTAACGGGAGGCGGGGGGAGGGGATGCGAGAGGCGAGCATGACAAAGGGAGAGAGGGGGAAGGGGGTTGGGGGGCGGGGCGGGGGGGACCGGGGGAGGAAGGAGGGGGTTTGTGTAGCGCTCACGCCGTTGCTCATCTGCCATTCGAGCACGCGCAGCTGGGAGCGCAGAAATTCGTTCTCGATAGCCTGCTTGCGGATCTCCACCTCCGCCTCATCCATCGCGCGCTGCCACGCCTCCGCCAGCTGCTGCTCCGGCTCCGCTGCTCCCGCGCCCCCTGCTCCTTCCACTCCCCCTCCTCCTGCCCCCCCTGCTTCTCCCGCCGGCACTCCCCCTGCCTCCCCTGCTCCCGCAGTCCCTGAACCTCCTGCTCCCGCTGTCCCTTGTGCTCTGGTCAAGGCCCCGTGCCCCCCTTGCCCCCCAACCCCTCCTGCCCCCTGCTCTTGCGACCCCTGGCCCGATGCTCCTTGCGCTTCTGATCCGCTCCCCCCAGCCTCTGGGCTGCCGAGTGCTTCCCCAGTGGCTGCCGCCTCCCCCGCCACGACCGCGCCTGCAGCGCTACTCTCAGCGCTGCTCTCTGCGGCTGGGGGATTAGGTGGTTCTGAGGTCGCCGCCCCTCCGAGTCCCACTCCTGCTGTTGCTCCTTCTTCGGCTGCTGCTGCTGCTTCTGCAGATGTTACCTTTTCTACTGCTCCTGCTGCTGCTCCTGGCGCTGCTGCCGAAAGCGAAGGGTCCAGCGCGGAATCGCAAAGGTAAGTGTCTAACGCAGAAGGCTGTAGCGAGGAAAGCTGTAGCGCGGAAAGCTCTGGTGAAGCTTCGGATATGGCACCAGGGATGATCGAGGACGGCTCGTCCAGGGAAGGAGGATGCGGAGCAGAGACCGCAGCTACAGCCGGCATTACCGAGGCTTTCTGAAGCGTAGGAAACGGGAAAGTAGAGAGCAGGCGGGGACCGAGCAAAAAAAATGAACAGGCAAAACGGAAGTCAGGACATTTTTTTTTCTTATGCTTGTGAATAGTGGCAACAGCTGCCGCTATTATACATTAATAGATGATCAAACAGCGATGGGAACAGGACAGACGAATTCTAATATGCTTAAAAACAGCATCGAAAGCAGGAAAAACACGTAGATTGTGATGAATTTCCGGTTATGGCTAGTGAATAACCAAAGGCATTAACTTTGTTCCAGGACTAACAGCCTTCTTCCAAGCCTTTTAGATTCCTACCTTGTGTGCCCCAGGCTGGCACGCTGCTGTTTACTGCTGCTTCGCAATCGTTCCCCACTATTCCTGCGACATTCGCCAGCGGAACAAACAGTCAAGAATATGGTTGTGAGAATTCCCAGAACTCGCACGCTGCCGTTTACTGCTGCTGCTCAATCGTGCCCCGCTATCACTGCGACATTGGCCAGCGGAACAGACGGAAAACTAGTGCTTAGGAAGGGTTGAAAAGAAAGAAAGAAAGAATGTGTAATGATTAAGGTAAGGCTAGTGGTAATTGATTTGAGTCCAATGACGTCGAAGGCGACACCTGATATTCATTCAGTCACGAAGGTGGTACGACCATGTAGCTACTAGTATAGGAAAATCAACAATCTATGAAGCTAGTTTCCGGCGGAGCAGTCACGGAAGCATCGTCCTCTAAGAAGAATAAGATGCGATTTCATCGAATTGATGCTGTAGCGACGGGAGCACTCGGAACCGGTTGGCCTAAGGTATTATGCTTCTTAAACAACAACGAAATGCCTTGGTAAGACAGACGCATTCTGGGAAATAACAAGATTTTGAGTTGATTTTGAGGTGCAGTCTGCTCCAGCGCTGCGGGAAATTGGTTGGATAAACAAGCTTGATCGCGAACCCTAACTGATCCTGGTCAGCTATGACCTGTACGCACCCAAATGGCCGGCATAGCGACTGGATAGCACGCTACGCGACTCCAGGCCACAATGCGAATGGCGCTCCTTTCGCGAAATCGGATAGCCCTCTGGTTTTGGAAAATGATGAAACCAGACTTGGACTAGCAAAGCAATGTCAGGGAGCCATGGATGGATCGCAGAAGTGAACAGTTTATTCCGAGTTGTGCTTGCACTGTTCCTGGGCTTGTTTCTGTGGTTTCTGTGGGACGGTCGATTGATTGGTTGGTGGTCAGGGAGGGGTCATTCTGTGAGAACTTCAAGGTCGCGAAGACAATTTGAAACTTACCAGATTAGAAGTAACCAAGATACCGGCCTCGCCGAGGAAAGGCATTTTCGCCCAGTCCGTTGTGGAAGCGGTTGTGGGGACAAGCGAAGGCGAAGAGTCGGAGGCATTCAATCGCCTGACGAGAAGTTGACGGCCAGCGGTTGGAGGAGCTCTGTTTTGGCCAAAATACTTACATCCAGTTTGACTGATGATTCTGTGGGCGGTTGCTTTGTAAGCGCGTACCTCTTAATAACTTCCTCGTCTTCGGATAACTTTCCTGGGAGATTAAATCATGATTGACGAGGCATTCATTTTTGTCAACATGTATAACTTGGTAAAACGAGGAGAAACCAGTGCCAGCAATACTGGAGGGCACCCTAAAAACGGCGACGTGGATTCATCCATCCACGAGCGAGCCGTCATTTCGCTTTTATCACCTGCGACGAACTCGATAGAACGTCGGCATTCCGCACCGCGATGATTGGCGCGGCCGCAGGCATGGTTGCCCTTCTGCTCCGCCGCTCCCTAGTCCCCTCCCCAGTTACATTGAGGGAGCGCACCCCTCACTGGGCAAGCATCATCGCTCCTCCTCCTCGCCCCTTTTCCGCACGCCTGTCTGCCTGGCCCTCGACCTTGCCCCTTTCGCGACGCGAGGCGTTTTGAAGTCGAGACACGAGATCAGATACCTGGTACTACTTTTCCCGCATGTAATCGTTTTAATGGTGTATTCTATATTTTGAATTCAGAAACAGATTCTTCACGTTTTCGATTCACGTCACGAGTCATGACCTCAATCTACCGTAATTCGGCGGAGCCGTCGAAGTCAGGTTCTAGTAGGGAACACCTGACACTAAATATATTTTTGAGCTGGTTTGCCCCAACCCCAACCTCTAGCGTTTCGGCAAATGTCGCATCAAGTCTCTCTTGCCTTGACCCTTCCGAACCTCGCCCTCACGAATTCAGCCCCACTCATCCCATCCTTCTCTTAGTTCAGCACAGTAGGACCTCAGTCACCATGTCGGGTCTGGACCAGCAACAGCAGGTCGAAGTAAAGTCGCGCTCGCGCCTCATAGACGAACCATACTAAGTTCTTACTTTGTCTTGGCCGCACGTCTCAATCAAGTTTGCTAATAAATTGCGAGACGTGTGTGTTTGCTACTTGTTTAGACCACTACAAAGTCACCACAGGCGTGACGCCTCGTGAGCAGCAGGAACATGGAAACGGCTACTCTAATGCCTCCGGCAAGGTCCGTGGACGATTCTAGACGTCCAATCCTTCTGCATACAGTGTCGAACGAAGGAGCCGCCGTGCCCGACAGCCAGACGGGGAGTGGCCCCGCGAGAAACGGCGCAATGTGCGGGGCATCCGCTTACGCGTCTACTGCCCTTAGAGCCCGAGAAGCTTTAGAATGCAACGAAAAATATGATGACGATGGTGATGGCGATGGCGATGGCGGCAGTGATGGTGGTGGCAGTGGCGACGCCAGGGTCAGCGACGGTCAATGTCCTTCAAACAGTTTTCTCGGCGAGTACTACAGTGACTCGTGGAAGCTCGCTGACGTGGCGTTATTCTGTAAAAAAAATCATTCTGATTGGAGGGGGAGTTTACTCCGCGGGCTGTTCTGGGCCGTCCCGCTGCTGCTCCTCGTGCTCGTGCCGCAGTTTGCAGCGCTGACGAGCGGTCCGAGAGACCTCACGCGGCTCGTTGACTTTCCTCGAGGCGTAAGATTGGGGGGTGAGGGGAATGTGATGGTGGAGATTGAGACGGAGAGCGGAACGGTAACGGAGACGTTAACGGAGACGGCAGCTGAATCGGTAACTGAGACAGTAACGGAAGCAGAGGGGGACGAGGTGGGTGTGGCGGAAGAGGGGGGTGCGTATGTTCCCGTGGGGAAGGATGCGGGAGTTGCGGAAAATGGGGATGGGGGGGTTGCGGAGAACGAGGACGCGGGGATTGCGGAGAACGCGGAGGCGGGGGTTGCGGAGAACGAGGATGAGGATGTGGACAAGAATGGTGGAAGGCAGAGCGAAGAGCGCGGGAATCCGGAAAAGAAATTGGGGGGAGACGAAGCGGAATTACAGAGGGAACCTCCCGCTGTTGAATCGGGGAAGACCTCGTCTCGTGAAGTTAGCGAGCCGAATCAGGCTATTGGTAACCACGACGCGGAGCGTGCGAACGACGCGAGCTTGCGAAACGAAAACGCGGCGAACCGCGCGACCTCAGAGGTCGAAACGCAGATAGACAGCGACACCGACGAGTTAAAGGCGGAAATAAAGCAGCGAACTCTGGGTGACGTGGAGCGTATTGATTCGCCGAGGGTTCTGAAGTACCTTCATGCGAACCCGAGATTAGCCTGGGAGACGGAGTGGTTACCAGTTCGGCGAGAAGATTACTTTCGCCCTGGTGAAAAATACTACTTTGTTACCGGGCAGCGCGATTTTTGTGCTGGAATTCGCCACTTCCATCGCAGCCTGTCGTGCAAGATCGCGGAAGCGGCTTTTCTGAATCGCACGCTCGTACTCGATATGGGGCTGTGCATAAACGGAATGCACAATGGCGGGACTGCGAGTGTTCACAGTCTGCATTACTACTACGATCTGCCCTCCCTCAGGTAAGCACTGTCCCTCAAGTAACACCCTTCCAGCGTCCCCAACCCCCTCTCCACTCGTTCCGCAACCCCCCCACCCCCCTCTAGTCCCTCCAGGCTCAACCCGCTGCACTTCTCCCTGCAAGCCTGCACGGGTTACTCATTAACTCACTTTTCCATTCCCCTCTCTTTCTCGCAGGGCCGCCAGATTTACCCCCCTGAATGGGTTCCTGCAAGGCATGAGGGAGTGGCGGCGCAAGCAGGGGCAGAGGGGAGAGGAGGCAACTGGAAGGTGGTTGAGGGGTGTATCTGCAGGGGAGGGTGCATCTCAAGGGGATGGTGTATCTGCGGGGGAGGGTGTATCTGCGGGGGAGAGTGTGCCAGCTGCAGCTCTTTTTGCCCGTGTGGTTCAAGCAGACACAAGGACTAGGGTAAGTTCCCAACCAACTACTTTTAAGAATACTCCAAGGCAGGAAGGCAGGGGTATTTGTCAGTCATAATCTGCGATATTTTAGTCGACTCCAGAAAGGTGAGTGGCCACTCACCCTTCACACGACGATGTTTTCAGTCAAGCACCCACATGTGCCATCGCTTTAACTCCCCCCAAGCTGACTTTTGAGTCGACTCTGAGAATTATGACTGAACAGCACTCAAAAGTTAATTCTCAGTCAAGCACCCACATGTGCCATCGCTTTAACTCCCCCCACCCTCCCCTCCCCCCTAATCCCCATCTATCCCCTCTCCCTTCTCCCACCTCCTCGCCCTATGAGCAGGCCATAGCACAGGACAGCAGCACCACGCTCATCATTCTGTGTTATCCAATCACCCTCATTAGCCACCTCTCCCCCTCCGTTCCTCCCTGCCCCCAACCACCCCGCCACGAGCAGGCCATAGCGCAGGACAGCACCACCACGCTCGTCATTCGAGATGCTCACTACGGCTTTGTGCAATCACCCTCATCAGCCACTCCTCCCACCCCCTCTCTTCATTCCCCATCTGCAGGCCATAGCGCAGGACAGCACCACCACGCTCATCATTCGAGATGCTCACTACGGCTTTGAGCCGTGCCGGGGCCAGCTCTCTCACTGGCCCAACCTGGTGAGCATTCCCTACCCTCCCCTCTCCTCTCCTCTCCTCTCCCCTCCTCTCACCTCCTCTCCCCTCCTCTCACCTCCTCTCCTCTCCTCTCCTCTTCTCTCCACTCTCTCTAAGCTACACCTGGCGGATTGTTCAAGCAACCTATCTGACTGCTTGCCCCACCTCCACCGAGTTGACTTTTGAGTCGACTCAACAGTCAACTAAGCTACGCCTGGCGGGTTGTTCAAGCAACCTATCTGATTGCTTGCCCCACCTCCACCGAGTTGACTTTTGAGTCGACTCAACAGTCAACTAAGCTACGCCTGGCGGATTGTTCAAGCACCCTATCTGACTGCTTGCCCCACCTCCACCGAGTTGACTTTTGAGTCGACTCAACAGTCAACTAAGCTACGCCTGGCGGGTTGTTCAAGCAACCTATCTGACTGCTTGCCCCACCCCCGTCCCACGCACCCACCCACTCACCCATGACAGAGAGTCGACTACATCACATCGAACGAATCGGCCATTCTCTTCCGCCCAAAGCTGAGGGGACTGGCTGGCAGCCAACATGTCGCAGGCCACTCTCACTCTTTACTATGCCTGGCGATCGATCAAGCAACCTTTTACCTGGTTGACCCACCGCCGTCCCACGCACCCACCCACCCACTCACCCATGACAGAGAGTCGACTACATCACAGCGAACGAGTTGGCCATTCTCTTCCGCCCAGAACTGAGGGGCCTGGCAGCCAACATGTCTGAGTCCATGAATGCAGGGGACTATGACGCCGTGAGAGTGTGACGGGCAATCTTATGTGTTCCTTGTGATCGTTTGAGCAATCCATCTAACTGCTTGGCCCATCCCCATCCCATCCACCCACCTACCCACCCACCCACCCATCCACCCCATTCGCCCGTCCACCCCCGACAGAGGTTGGGCTACATCACATCAAACGAATCGGCCATCCTCTTCCGCCCAGAACTGAGGGGCCTGGCAGCCAACATGTCGCAATCCATGAATGCGGGGGACTACGACGCCGTGAGAGTGCGCCGGGGAGACAAGCTCAACTCCGACGTGTGGCCGCACGTTGCAAACGACACGAGTCCCCCTGCGTAAGTCAAGTCCACCACGCACTCTTGACTCGAATGACTCTGCGTTCCAGAAGAGTGAGTGCAACTCTCAAGGGGCTGAGGGATCTGGCAGGGCAGCCGACATGTGGCAGTCCACGAATGGGGGTGGGGGGGACTACGTCGCTGTGAGAGTGCGCCGGGATATTGAAATCACTTTTGAGAATTCTCAAAAGTGATTTCAATATTGAGGGGTCTGGCAGCCAACATGTGGCAGTCCACGAATGGGGGTGGGGGGGAGTACAACGCTGTGAGTGCGCCGGGGAGAGGCTGCACGTGGCAAGCGACACAAGTCCTGCCGCATAAATCAACTGCTTTTTTTCGAATGAAGTTGTGTTAAAACAACTTCTAATTGAGTTTACATTTAATGCTGCTGGTGAGCGTGATCTATATTCTTGGGATGCATATTGAAAAGTTGGTCTTTGTTACTGGTCTTTTCCCTGGACTTCGCTCTGTTACAGTCTCCTGGAGAAGCTCCCCCGGTTCGTTGCACTTGGACGCACGCTGTACATTGCGACAAATGAGAAAACGCCTGGGTTCTTCGACCCGTTGAAGGCGGTCTTCTCGGTTCGGCAATTTCGGGACTTCGACCAACTCTGGGCGCCTGGCACTCCCTGGTTCGATGGATACACGCGAATCCTGGGTCCAGATCCAAACCTGGACCCCTACATGGAGGTACGGTACACCCCAAGGCCTGGGACTTCATATATTGACACACCTGGGACTTCGACCACCTCTGGGCGCCTGGGACTCCCTGGTTCGATGGATACGCGCGAATCCTGGGTGCGACTCCCAACTTGGACCCATACATGGAGGTACAGTAGTTATTGTGCCTATTTGTAAGGGGGTGGGTGGGGGATGGGATGGGAGGAGGTGGGGTGTGGGTTCTTGTGTGTGTGTGGAGGGGTGGGTGGAAGGGTGGTTGGGAGGGTGTGCGTGTGTGTGTGTGTGTGTGTGTGTGTGTGTGTGTGTGCGTGCGTGCGTGTAGGTGTGCGTACATGCGTGCGTGCGGACATGCATGCGTGTGTGCGTGTGCGTGCGTGTGTGTGTGTGTGTGTGTATGTGTGTGTGTGGGTGTGTGTGTGTGTGTGTCCTCCTGTGTCTTGGTGTCTCTGACCACCTGCTTTTCTTGTTTTACCTGGCCTTGCCTGGTGCTACAGGTCATTGTGGAGTACAAGGTTCTGTTTGCCGCTGTGTGAGCATGCGCGTGTGTATCCGTTTGTCCTCCCGTGTCTTAGTGTGTCGCTGTGTGTCTGACCACCTCCTTGTTCTATCCCTTGCGTGGTGCTACAGGCCATTGTGGAGTACAAGGTTCTGTTTGCCGCGAAAACCAAAGTTTTCACGTTCAACAACCTGACGAGCGACGCAGAGGGTGGAATAAGGTCATTGGCCCTGAAAAGGCACTGACTGAGACCGTGCAACAAAGGCATGCCATGATGCCATGAAAAAGGGTTTAGACTGAGGTCGTGGAAAGGCATTCAGTGACCTTAAGGACAACAGCTGTATTGTCCTGAAGCGTTAATACTGCCTCTTGTATAGTGTTCCATGCTTCCCATATAATAATGCATGCTCTATCATGCATGCCAAGGCCCATACGGGGTCTGGTGGATTTCCTTGCTGCCAATTTGGTGCCATACTGAGTGACCATGTGCGGAATGATGCATAGGATGCTGCTGTTTTGAGCCGTGCCATATTTTATTACGTTTAGTAAAACCGGTTGCCTCCTACCGTATAAAACATTTTTAGCAGATCTGTACAGTACCTTACATGGTTCTGCTGAGCACAGCAACAATTTTATAGAAGCACTTTTCCTATGCTACTACAGAATGCCAATTCACTAGCACCATTAGCATCGTGTTGATTGTCGTTTTAAAACGGAGATGTAGATTCATCCATCCACAAACGAGCCGCCAGTTCGCTTTTGTCATCCGCAAACTCCATAGAGCGTCAGCTTACAGCGCCGCGATGATTGAGTCTATATTCCGCGAACACAGGAGTTGCGTGGCCGCAGTCATGGGACTGCTGCTCCGCCACTCCGCAGTCACGGGAGCGCGCCCCTCATTGAGCACCAAGCATCCCGCCTCGATTCCCCTCGCCCTCCCATTTTCCGCGCGCCTGCCGGCCCGTTCCCCGCCACCGCTCGCGACTCGACTCTGCTAAACAGCTTCAATCTTCATGGTCAAAATGCCATGTACGAAATGCCATACTGTACCTGTACAGTGTTGTGGTGGAAAAGCATCGGAATCAGGTTCTAGCAGGGGAAATCCATTTCGTAGTCTGCATGCGGACGACGAACACCGAGATAGTGTGTGCCTTGACACAGCCTTCCGACCAGGGCTCAGGATAGCAGGGCGTTTTACCCTGTTGCCCTGCATTTTAGGGTGAAATTTTGACCCACACTGCTAGAATTGGGTTTGGCTGGGCGTCCACCCTGTCATCGTCAGGCAGGGTTGAAAATAAACCCTGCAAATGCTGTTTTACGCTTATGTGCAACACTGCCATTTCCCGGCTGGTTACGGCAGACACCCTGCCAACTTTTCCTCTTTTGTTGAACTTTACGAACTGCGCGGCTGTTCCTCTAAGTAGCGTTTGTGACTGAAATTTCCAGAATCGGATCAGTACTTGAAACACCAGATTCAGCTCTTGCACGGTGAGTGCCGTTTGTGACTGAAATGTGTCCAGTAGCGTTTGTGACTGAAATTCCAGAATCGGCCAAGCACTTTCAACACCAGAGATGCAGCTCCAGCACAGAGAGTGGCGCGTTATCGTAGTGACCGCACCTAGAAGACCCACCGACAGGCCTCTCATCTCCCCACCTTACGACACTAAAACCTCAACCACCACGCACTTACGCATAGAGACGACCACCAGGAAGACCCAGTTCGACAAGATTTTCTGGCTTCTAGGAATCATCGATATGGCAGGATCGACTGCTAGACCTAAAAGTTTTAGCTAGGCAGTTTTTTTGGATTTCCCACCCCGCCAGATTCGACCTCGAAAAAAAACCACACTGCCATTTCTTGGGTACGACCGCCAAGGCACACTGCAGAGGCAGGGTGTAGCGGGTCACAACTCGGATCAGGCAGCGTGCCCCAAAATGAATCGAGAGCCCTGCTTCCGACCCGAACCTAGCCCTTATGTTCCAAATTCGGCATCCCCTCTCCTCCTCTCCCTCCGTTCTGTACATCAAATGCTTGATTCTGGTTCAGTCAGAAGCAGCTCGAAGTTTAGTCACACCTCATCGACGAGCCATAAGCTCCTACTTCTATGTCTGTCCGGGGCGCGCGTCTCAATCAAGCCATCAAACCCTCTCGCTCGACACTGACAATCTTTAACTAATAAATCGCGAGACATAAGTAGCAGGAGGAGATCTTTTTTAGTCCATTAGAGAAAGTCACCGCGGCGTGTAAGTAGCAGGAGCATGGAAACGGCTATTCTAATGCCTCCGGTAAGGTCCGAGAACGGGTCTGAGTGTCCACTCCTTTCGCTTGCAGTGCCGAACGGAGGAGGCGCCGCGCTCGACAGCCAGACGGGGAGTGCCCCCGCGAGAAACGGCGCAATATGTGGCGACGATCTCGGCGCGATGTGCGGGGCCTGCCCGTATTCGTCTACCTCCCAACGAGCCCGAAACGAGCTAGACGGCAATGGCGACGCCGATGGCGATGGTGATGGCGGTGGCGGCGGCAGTGACGGCAGCAGTGGCGGTGGAAGTGGCGGTGACGGTGTTGGCGACAGCCAATGTCCTTCAAATTCTTTTCTCGGGTACTTCAGCGACACGTGGAAGCTTGCTGACGTGGCAAAAAGCTTGAAAAAGGGTCATTCTGATTGGAGGGGGCGTTTTCTACTCCACGGGCTGTTTTGGGCCGTCCCGCTGCTGCTCATCGTGCTGGTGCCGCAATTCGCGGCGCTAACGAGCGGTCCGAGAGACCTCACGAGGCTCGTTGACTTCCCGCGAGGCGTAAGAGCGGGAGGCGAGGGGGATGTGATGCCGGAGATTGAGACGGAGAGCGGGACGGTAACTGAGACGGCAACTCAGACGGTAACTAAGGCGGTAACAGAGACGGTAACGGAACCTGCTGCGGCAGCGGCGCGGGATGTGGCGGAAGAGGAGTACAAAAATGCGGAAGGGGGCGTGGGGAAGCAAGAGGGGCTTGCGGCAAGTGGTACCGCAGCGGAAGGGGGCGTGGGGGATATGGCGGATGAAGGGGATGCGGAAGGGGGCGCGGGGGATATGGCGGAAGAGGGAGATGCGTATGTTCACGCGGGGGAGGATGCGAGAGTAGCGGAGAACGAGGACGCGGGGAATGCGGAGAACGAGGGTAAGAATGAGGATGTGGACAAGAATGGCGGGGGGCGAACCGAAGGGCGAGGGAATCCGGAAAAAGGGTCGGAGAAAGACGAATCGGGACCTGAAAGGGAATCTCCCGCACGGGAACCGGGGGAGGCGTCGTCTCGCGAAATTAGCGAATCCATCCAAGCGACTGGTAACCAGGAGCGTGCGAACGACGCGAGTCCGCCGAACGAAAACGCGGCGAACCGCTCGAATTCAGAGTCTGAAACGAAGGGAGCAAGCGACGCGGACGAGTTAATGGCGGAATTGGAGCAGCGAACTCTGGGTGACGTGGAGCCTCTTGATTCGCCGAGGGTTCTGGAGTACCTTCGTATTAATCCGCGATTAACGTGGGAGACGGAGTGGTTACCAGTTCGGCGAGAATATTACTTTCGCCCGGGCGAAAAATACTACTTTGTTACTGGGCAGCGCGATTTCTGTGCGGGAATTCGCCACTTCCATCGCAGCCTGTCGTGCAAGATCGCAGAAGCGGCTTTTCTGAATCGCACGCTTGTACTCGATATGGGGTTGTGCGTTAACGGATTGCACAGCGGCGGGTCTGCGAGTGTTCACGGCGTGCATTACTACTACGATCTGCCCTCCCTCAAGTAAGACCGTCCCTCAACACCCTTCCTCAGGTAACACCCTCCCCCCACCCCACCATCCCCCCCCCGAATTCCCCGTCTCGTTCTCTCTTTCCCCCCCGCAGGACCGCCAGGTTACCCCCCCTCTCCTCAGGGCCTGGCAGAGAGGCCGTTGCTCGCGAGTGACTCGGTTACACCCCGGCCCCCATCCCCACATCCCACCATCCCCGCCCCCGCCATCACGGGCTGGCGGAATGGTCGCAGCTGGGGGATGACTCGACCGTTTCGTCCAACCCCCCACCCCCACCATCTCACCACCCCCGCGCCTCTCCCTCCGCCCTTCACTTTTCGCCCCAGGGCCGCCAGATTCACCCCCTTGCACGGGTTCTTGCACGGCCTGGCAGTGGCTTGGGAGTGACTCACTGTCTCTCTTTTTTTTTCCCTTTCTCTCTATTTTCCCTTTCTCTCCTCCCCCCCCCCCCCCCCCCCCCCCCCCCCTTTTTCTTTATTTTCCTTCCTCTCTTTTTCCCTTTCTCTCCTTTTCCCCTCTCACTCTTGCAGGGCCGCCAGATTCACTCCCCTGAACGGGTTCCTGCAGGGCCTGAAGGAGTGGCGGCAGTCAACAGTTCCCCACAACCCCCACCCCCACCATCCCATCACCCCCGCCCCTCTCTCATTCCGCCGCAGGGCCGCCAGATTCACTCCCCTGAACGGGTTCCTGCAGGGCCTGAAGGAGTGGCAGCGGCAGCAAGAGCAAGGGGGAGGGGAGGGGAGCAACAGGGGGGAAGATGCGGATGGAAAGGGGGAGGCCATTGGAAGGCGGTTGAGAGGTGTATCTGGAGGGGAGGGTGTATCTGCAGGGGAGGGTGTATCTGCAGGGGAGGGTGTGTCAGCTACAGCCCTGTTTGCCCGTGTGGTGCAAGCAGACACAAGGACTAGGGTGAGTGAGTAACTTCTCTTGAGAATACTCAAGGACAGGTGAATTAGTCTTAATCTGCAACCTCCTCCTAGTTGGCTGGGAATAAGGCCTCCGCAGCCCACCTGTTTACTTTCGACAACCTCCTAATTGACAGGGAATGTAGAGCAGACACAAGGACAGGGTGAGTGAGTAACTTTTCTTGAGGAATACTCAAGGACAGGTAAATTAGCCTTAATCTGCAACCTCCTAGATGACTGGGAATGTAGAGCAGACACAAGGACAGGGTGAGGTGAGGTACTAACGACTCCTGAGAACACTCAACCAAAAAGCCTAGGTCGCTGCACCACAAAGCATGCAACAGCCTAGGTCGCTGCACCACAAAGCATACAACAGCCTAGGTCGCTGCACCACAAAGCATGCTACAGCCCGAGATTACGGCACTCCTTCTCCTCCCCCCCCCCCCTCGATCCCTCACTTTTCTTTCCTCCATCCCCCATCCTCCCTTCCCCCATGTGCAAGCCATAGCCCAGCGCAACACAGGCACGCTCATCATTCGGTGCTGTATGCCGCGCAACACAGGAAGGCACCCACATGCATTAAACACCACGCCTTGGCCCCTCCCTCATCCCCCCTCCCTCATCCCCCAGTCGGTGTAGCGCAAGCACCCACATGAGCCAACCTCCATCACCCACCCTCTCCCCCTCCCCACCCCCCCTCCCCGCAACCCTCCACGAGCAGGCCATAGCGCAGGCCAGCACCACCGAGCTCATCATTCCGTGTTGTGCAAGCACCCCCATCAGCCATACCCCCCCACTTCTCCCCCCCTCCTCCCCCCACGAGCAGGCAATAGCCCAGGACAGCACCACCGCGCTCATCATTCGAGACGGTCACTACGGCTTTGTGCAATCACCCTCATCAGCCTCTCCTCCCACCCCCTTTTCATTCACCATCTGCAGGCCATAGCGCAGGACATCACCACCACGCTCATCATTCGAGACGGTCACTACGGCTTTGACCCGTGCCGAGGGGAGCGCTGCAACTGGCAAAATATGGTGAGCGCTTCTCCTCCTCTCTTCCCCTCTCCTCTCCTCTCCTCTCCTCTCCTCTCCTCTCCTCTCCTCTCCTCTCCTCTCCTCTCCTATCCTCTCCTCTCCTCTCCTCCTCTCCTATCCTCTCCTCTCCTCTCTTCCCTCTCCTCCCTCTCCTCTCCTCTCCTCTACTCTCCTCTCCTCCCTCTCCTCCCCAACCTCTCCTCTCCTTTCCTCTCCTTCCTCCTCTCCCTCTCCTCCCCTCTCGTCCCCTCTCCTCTCCTCTCCTCCCTCCACTCCCTCCTCTCTCTCCTCCCTCTCCTCGTTCTCCTCGCTCTCCTCCCTCTCCTCCCTCTCCTCCCCTCTCCTCCCTCTCCTCCCTCTCCTCCCGCTCCTCCCTCTCCTCCTTTCCCTCGTGGCACTGGTTTGAGTCAACTCGAAAAGGGGAGTGTTGCAACCGGCCCAACTCGATGAGTGCCCTCCTCTCCTCCCTACCCTCCTACCTCCTCCCTCTCCTCCCACTCCCCCCCCTTCCTCCCTCTCCTCCCACTCCCCCCCCCTTCCTCCCTCTCCACCCACTCCCCCCCCTTCCTCCCTCTCCTCCCACTCCCCCCCCTTCCTCCCTCTCCACCCACTCCCCGCCCTTCCTCCCTCTCCACCCACTCTCCCCCCACTTCCTCCCTCTCCACCCACTCCCCCCCCTTCCTCCCTCTCCACCCACTCCCCCCCCCTTCCTCCCTCTCTTCCCACTCCCCCACCTTCCTCCCTCTCCACCCACTCCCCCCCCTTCCTCCCTCTCCACCCACTCCCCCCCCTTCCTCCCTCTCCACCCATGCATAACAGTGAATCGACTACATCACGGCGCCGCCATTTTCTTTGGGCCGGAGCTGAGAGGACTAGCAGCCAGCATGTCACAATCCAATCCAATCCAAAATCCACCCACCCTCTTCCATCCATAACAGCGAGTCGACTACATCACGGCGAACGAGTCGGCCATTCTCTTTCGTCCAGAGCTGAGGGGCCTGGCAGCCAACATGTCGCAATCCATGAATGCGGGGGACTACGATGCCGTGAGAGTTAGGAGGGGAGACAAGCTCAACACTGACATGTGGCCGCACGTGGCAAACGACACGAGCCCTCCCGCGTAAGTGAAGTCAAACGCTCTACTCAAATGAAGCTGCTGAGTCGACTGAGAGGGGACTGCGGCGTGAGAGTGTGCAGGGGAGACAATCGCAACACTGACATGTGGCTGCACGCGGTGAATGACGCGAGCCTTCCCGCGTAAGGCAGCCACTCTTGACTCCTTTTGAGGCGGCAGGGTGTTTTTGAGAATTCTCAAGAACACCCTTTTGAGGCGCCTCAGAAGTAGTCGCACGCGGCGAATGACACGAGTCTTCCCGCGCAGCCACTCTTGACTCCAATTCAGCTGTGTTCAGATGATTTGAAGTTAATGACAAATGCTGCTACTCGTGGCCATTTTTTTTTTTACAGTCTACTGGAGAAGCTCCCCCGGCTCGTTGCACATGGCAATGTTTTCTACTACCTGTCTTTCCCCTCCACCGTGCAATTTTACAGTCTACTGGAGAAGCTCCCCCGGTTCGTTGCACCGGGACGCACGCTGTACATTGCGACAAATGAGAAAACGCCTGGGTTCTTCGACCCGTTGAAGGCGGTCTTTTCGGTTCGGCAATTTCGGGACTTCGACCACCTCTGGGCGCCTGGCACGCCCTGGTTCGACGGATACGCACGAATACTGGGTGCGAATCCCAAGCTCGACCCCTACATGGAGGTGTGTGTGTGTGTGTGTGTGTGTGTGTGTGTGTGTGTGTGTGTGTGTGTGTGTGTGTGTGTGTGTGTGTGTGTGTGTGTCCTGGTGTACCTGACCCTGCAATCTTGTACTTTTCCCTTGCGTGGTGCTACAGGCCATTGTGGAGTACAAGGTTCTGTTTGCCGCGAAAACAAAAGTTTTCACGTTCAACAACCTGACAAACGATGCAGAGGATGGAATAAGGCCTTTGGCCCTGAAAAGGCATTGACTGAGCTCACAGACAACAGCATGTTGTTCCAGAGCATTTCCGAGCTGAGTTGATATTTGCATATCCTGATTGCCTACAGTCCGCTAGTGTACCAGTGCGTTATTACGGTAGCTACAATTGCTGGTGGTGTACCCTTCCCTCTTGCCTTGCCTATTTGTACCCTTTTGATTATAGTGAATTCCCTCCTTTCTCCAATTTTATTGCCATCCCTCTCAATCTCCCAAGTCCTAGTCTCATAGGCCTATTCTAACACTGCTGCCTCTTGTATAGGGTTCTGTGTCTCCCTGTGTAATAATGCATGCTCAATCGTGCATGCCAAGCAGGCCCTACGATATCAGGATTTTTTCCCTGAAATTCCTGATTTTCTGCGTTTTTTTTTTTCCTACCCTGATTTTCCAGTGTTCAGCTTTTTTGGGGGACTGATTTTTCAGCCTTTAGGGGCCAGATGACTCTGAGCTTTCAGGTTTTTTTTTTTAAGGGACACTGATTACACTACGTTGTAACGAAACTGACACTGAATGCGATTCCTACACGTTCCGAGTGTAGTTGCCCGGAAGTACAGGGAATCTCAGATTCCCGCGGTGTCAGCACCGCCTGGCGGTGACTACCAGACAAATATGCCCCGTGTTATTCGCTTTGAGGGCTGCTTTGTTGGCGCACTTGGTCCGATCATTGGCCACTTTTGCAGCATTATGTGGGTTGACCAATGACAAGGTTGCAACAGAGCGATGCTGGCAGGCTGCGATGCGAGGCTTTCTGACCCATTGCTTGCACCTGTGGTCTTGTGGCCCGTTTTGTCTAAGTCGTGCGGGCAAGCACTGGAGCATCCACGCCAGGGCCTCAGATATCAGGAAAAAAACCCTGAAATTCCTGATTTTGGCAGTCCTTTCTTTACCTACACTGAAAAATCAGTGTTGAGATTTTTGTGGGACTGATCTTTCAGCCTTTTTTGTTAGGCCACACTGAAATTTCAGACTTTTTTCCCCAAGTGCACTGATTCCACAGCGTTGTAACGAAACTAACACTGAAAGCAATTCTTACGTGTTCCGTTCCGTGTGGATTTGCCCGCAGTTACAGGGAGTCTTAGATTCCTGCGGTGCCAGCACTCCATTGGGCAGCTTCCCTATAGCATGAAGTGTTGGCTGATCAGAATGTGGCAACCATGTGGTGCTGGAGGGCTGCGAGGGTTCCTGCACCGTTGGCTGTGCTGGCAAGCACTGATGCTCCCATTCCCTCCAATCCAATCTCTCTTGTTTCTTTTCCTCCTGTTTCTCTCTCCCTCCCTCTCAGCCCGATTTCTCTCGCGTTTTCTCGTCTGCACTTATACATGGCGCCATCAGCACCAGAAACGGCGGGCTGTCGGGAATCGAACCCATTGCGAGCGCCGCCGAACCTCCTCTTGTCTCGCCGAACACATCACTCCCGTTCGACGCAATCCGCAGCGCATGCGAGATGGTCGTCGGCCACGTGGCAATTCCCGTCGGCGTCGCAGGCCCGCTACGACTCGACGACGCGTAGTTTTTCGTACTAATGGCAACGACTGAAGGCTGCCTCGTCACCAGCACGAACCGCGGTTGAAAGGCCATCTGCGCCGCGGGCGGCGCGCAGAGCGTCGTGCTGCGCGACGGCATGACCCGCGCGCCCGCCGTCCATTCCCCCGCTCCCTTTACCCCGCACTCCATCCACTCCCTCTCTCCCCCGGGCGTCTCCCCCCCAACCGTCCTAGTCCTCCCTCTTCTCTCCCTGCCTCACCCTGCCTGTCAATCTGGTTCCTCCCCCAAACCCTGCCCCTGCAGCTTCAACGTGTATGTGTCACAAGCAGAAGTGAAGCTGGAGTGTGTGCTGTGGCAGAGCACTGTCACGTACTGGTGTCCCAAGCTGAGGAGGAGAGAGAAGAACCAAAGGCTAAGGGCGGTGATGATAGCACGGCTGGTGATGATTCATGAGGCATGTTAGCTTAGCAATGTTTCGGAAGGTTGCTACTAACTTAGTATTTAAAATAGAGATTTCTAGTAATAATAGCCTTTTATATTATTGAACACTGATGCATCAGCCTTTTTTCAAAGGCAACACTGATATTTCAGGCTTTTTTTTTTAGGAACACTGTCAATCAAGGTATCTACACAGGGGTCCCTGATGGGTCGACGACCCTAAAAATGAATCTGAGGCCCTGATCCACGCCGCCCAGCCGTGCTACCTGCCATCCAGCGTAGGAGGAAATCGACGTTTCGTCCAGCTGGCGTCGCATGTATGCGATGGTTAAAATCTTCCAGGGCTGCAGTGTCGGGTCTGCGACAGGCCGAACACTTGGCGCGATATTGGGGCGGGCGATGTCGGACGACTGCGGAGCCACGTAATGGCGAAGCAGACTGATGTGGAAAGCGTCATGGATTTTCCAGTCATCTGGTAGTAATAATTTCGCCGTGAGTGGGGTCAACATCCGAATGATGCGGAAAGGTCCCACGTAGCGGGGACGCAGCTTTGCGGGTTGGGGCAGGCGAAGATTCTTCGTGTCCAGGAGGACCATCTGCCCGTCACGGAAGGGTAAGTTCAATCGATGCTTGTCAGCGTAGCGGCTGGCAACAGTATTAGCCTTCCGGATAAACTCTGCTGCTTTGTCGCGGGCTGCTTGAAGTTCCGAGACGAACTGCTGCGACCGTGGTACCAGGTTGTCGGGGGTCGTTGAAGAGGGTACCACGGGGTCTATCTTGTAATTGAGGTAGAACGGCGATTGATTGGTCGTCGCAGACGGTGCGTTGTTGTACGCAAATTCGAGCATGGGGAGTAAGTCCTCCCAGTTGGTAAGGTCAGGGCAGTTCGTGCGAATCAACTGCTCCATAGTCTGGTTTGTCCGCTCTGTCTGACCGTCGGTTTGCAGGTGGTAAGACGACGAAAACTGTAGGCGGGTGCCGTACTGTGCCCACGTCTACTGCTAGAACTTCGACGTAAATTTTGGGTCGCGGTCGATGACGATCGCTGAAGGTAACCCGTGTAATCTGACGGCAGTCGAGATGAACAGCTTCGCAGTTTCTTCGGCGGTGATCGTCGTGCGACATGGTGCGAAATGCGTCATTTTCGTTAAGCGATCGACGATGACCAGCACGGAGTCGTTGCCACTTGCGCCAGCTGGTAACCCCGTGACGAATTCCATTGTCACTTGTTGCCACGGTCGTTTGGGTGGCTCGAGGGGTTGCAGCAACCCAGCTGGGCATTGTCGTGACGACTTCATTGCTTGGCAGGTCGGGCATGCTGACACGTAGCGCTGCACGTCCGACGCCATGTCGGGCCATTAGTAATTCCGCTGCAGCAGCTTCAGTGTTTTGTCGACGCCGAAATGCCCGGATAGGTTCGAGTCGTGAACCTCCTGCGTCAGCAGCTCTCGTAAGGGTCGATAGGAGGGTACCCAAACTTGGTTGGTACCGACTATTAGGTGATAGCTCCCGTGTGGCGTGGTGACCCGTTGGTGTTGTTTCGTCCGGAAAAACCGGTCGGTCCTGAATCCGTGCTTGAAAAGTCCTGCCAAGGGTAAGAATGGGCGATTAGTACTGCGGCGGTCTGCATTGATGGGCGGGTCAGGGCGTCGGCGATGTTGTTGGCGCCCTTCTTGTACGTAATGGTGTAGCGGAAGTTTGACTCGAGGTAATCGAGCCACCTGATTTGTCGCGGGTTGAGCTGAAGTTGGCTGCGCATGTACTGTAATGACTTGTGGTCTGTCCTGATTGTGACGTCAGCTCCCGTGAGATAACAGCGCCAGGTACGAAATGCATGCACGATGGCAAGCATTCCTTTGTCGTGTACAGGGTAGTTGCGCTCGGGCGGCTGCATTTTCCGTGACGCGTACGCGATTGGTTGCAGCCCGTTGCCGAAATCCTGTAGAAGGATGGCGCCGACGGCGGAATCGCAGGCGTCCGTCACGACTTCGAACAGTCGAGATGCGTCTGCCAGCCGAAGCATGGGGGTGAACTCAAAATTTTCTTCAGCTCTTCGAAGGCCAACTGTTCTCTCTCCCCCCAAAGGAATTGCACACCCTTGTGCAGAAGATCAGTTAACGGCCTGGTTACCCCCGCCATATTCGGTACAAACCGGCGGAGTAGTAAACGAAGCCGAG